CCCAAGAAGGGGGCGAGGAGGAGCGGTGAATCACGAACCACAGTGGAATGGAGCCAAGAAATAAGCAAAAGTGATGTGGCCCCCACCCAGCCACCCAGCCAAAGGACAATGGTGAAAACGGCCAGGGGGTTATTTATCCAAGGTTAAAATTTTTAAAAGGACAAAACATGGAGCATCCAATTTAATCTTCCAGTTGCTTTTATTCTCTTAAGATATTCCCTTGGCAACAGCTTCTGAAGCTGGGAGGATTCGTCTCTTGCTGTGTCATCCCATGTTCCCTTCCCCGCCCCCCTCCTGCTGCCTGTGGGCTCCGTGTGTGTGTGTGTGTGTGTGTGTGTGTATTTGGTTTCTCTCTCCCCTGTAAGAGCACAGCCCTTCTCCTGTTCCTGCTCTTGCTGCTCTGCCTGGCTTTCTGCTGCCTCTTTCCTCTCCTTTCTCTTCCTGCTTAGCTCCAGGCCCTCTGGTAAGTGTGACAAACACTCCCCCAAGCCCGGAGAAGAAAGTGCAGTTTGTAGTGCTGGAAATGTGCAACTTGGACACGGCCAGGGAACTGCTGAAGAACTTGCCATTGTTGTATTCAAATTCCAGTGTGTTGCTCAGGAAGGGAAGGGGTGTGTGTGTGTGTGTGTGTGTGTGTGTGTGTGTGTGTGTGTGTGTGTGTGTGTGTGTGTGTGTGTGTGTGTGTGTGTGTGTGTGTGTGTGTGTGTGTGTGTCCACTGGGACTGCCAGTGCAAAGGAAAATTCAGAGGAGGGAGGAGGGGTCAATAAAGTTTTTAGAAGATAAAATTCAGAAATTGTTTCTTGGCTATCAAATACATTGCTAAGAAGGAATAATTGAAAAATAACAAAGTTCTTTGTTCTCCTCCCTGCCCTCTTGCTAATTTGTCTAAGTTCTTCTTGTAGGAATTGTGTTGTGCTGTTAGGCCACTTTAAAATACTTGTGATGGTTCTTTCTCCCTTGTCATTACGTTTGGAGTTTGGGGAAATGAAAACAGGACTAGCTAGTATAATAAACAGGACAAGTATATAATAAACATATACAATAAATTTCATTTCTATTTTATTTTATAGATAAGTAGTCAGAAAGAGACAGACAGATGGGTGGAGGGGTCAGGGATAAAGGGTCATTGGTAAAAGTACTCGTGTAGGACAATGAGGCCCTGTGTTCCCAGCACAACACCCAAAATACAGCAACATCAACACTAACATAAATGTGGTATAGAAGCTCAAGGAATGTCCATAGAACTAAGAATGAAAACTTGAACCATTGTGACTTCCGATGAATGACTAAGTCAAGGACAAAAAAGAAAAAAAAAACATTTTGCAGGTAACCTAACTACAGCAAAACTATGGACAGACATGTCTTAATTACTTACTTGGAAGTTCAGTTTACTTTAGGTTTTTTTTCCATCCAAAAATACTTTAAAACCCACATAGGGATTTAAACCAGTAAGTGCTTACTATTTTTAATTTGATTTTAAAATTATTCTCTGCACTTCCAAGGATAAAGTGCTACACACCATGACTCATTTTAGATGAGCTTAAAATAGCTTCTGGCTGGACCGAGGGTGACATGTGTCTTCTCTGAGTTTAGGGGAGGCAGAAGTTATATATAGATGAGTGTGTCTAATAAGGAGAGAGCAGGAGAAAGAAGTTATAGTGCTAGAGACTATTGGTTTTATAGATAAGACCATTTTACTTGGTAAAAGTTGGTGAATGAACATTGATGAGCTTACTTCCTGGTAGTCAACGGGACTGAGAGCGAGTACTAGTCGTCACTTTGATTGGTCCTCCTGCGCTCGCTTCCAAGCATTTGACTTCGATCTTGACAATGGAAGAAGGAAGCCATGCAGTTAGGAGAAACAATTTTTTGTTTTCATTTTGATACCAACACAACAGCAAAAAGCTGTGAACTAGAGGGCCTTGCCACCTTTTTATGCGGCTAATTAGCAACTATTAAATGTTATTTACAGGGGCTGGGAAGGTGGCTCAGTGGTAAAGCACTTGCCTTGCATGCTTGAGGCCCTGGGTTCAATTCCTCAGCACCCAACCATAAGCAAAAAAAAAAAAAAAAAAAATCCAGAAGTGGCGCTGTGGCTCAAGTGGTAGAGCGCTAGCCTTGAGCTGAAGAGCTGAGGGGCAGTGCCCAGGCTCAGAGTTCAGGTCCACGACCGGACCCAAAATTAAATACTATTTACAAATGAAATGCATCATACTTTAAATGTCTAAGCCAAACCTATTTACCCTACACAGGGTAATAACCAGAAGTCTTAGAATCTTTTTTTTTTTTTTTTGCTAGTCCTAGGCTCAAACTCAGGGCCTGGGTGCTGTCCCTTGTTAGGTTTTTAAAAAGAGGTAGCCGAGTAAAAACTGCACCAGCACGCACGTGGTATTCAGGTAAGGGGGAGGTTTATTCAGTAGACCTGCTGGGACCAGGCAAGGTTGGCACTCCACGTGGCTGAGAAAGGCCTGGCAATGAGAGAGAGCTGGGAAAGAGAGGAAAGAGCTAGAAAAGAAGAGCAGAGAGAGAGCAGAGAGAGCTAGAAAAGAAGAGCAAGAGCAAGAGAGCTAGAAGAGCAAGAGCAAGAGAGCTAGAAAAGAAGAGCAAGAGCAAGAGAGCTAGAAAAGAAGAGCAAGAGCAAGAGAGCTAGAAAAGAAGAGCAAGAGAGCTAGAAACGAACAGAGAGAGAAAGAGAGAGTCTGGGCCTGGGCTAGGCCTTATGTAGGGTATGGGCGGGGAAAGGTGTGGCCACATCAAATTCAGATGTGACCTCTTCCAGGTGTCTCAGTTGCCTAGGTAACGCAGGTACTGGGTGGAGACTTTGCTGCGAGGAGGGTGGAGTCTGCTTGCCATCCAGGAGCGGACCTTACATCCCTGAGCTCCTTTTGCTCAACTAGTGTTCTACCACTTGATCCACAGTGTCACTTCCAGCCTTTTCTGAGTAGTTTATTGGAGATAAGAGTCTCAAGGACTTTTCTGCCCGGGCTGGTGTCAAACCATATCCTCAGATCTCAGCCTCCTGAGTAGCTAGGATTACAGATATGATCCATCTGTCCCTGGCTTAAGTCTTGGAATTCTTAACTCATTCCCTCAACCCATATTTCCCCAAAGCTCATGGTACGTCTGAATTATATCCCTCATTGATTTACTCCCTGTATATTATACATAGGTATTTCTTTTTAAAATATTATTAAATTTCCTAAGGGATTTTTGACTTAGAAGTGAAAGTTGTCATCTGTTTTCTTCTAAAAGGAAGTCATTTTAGAGTAGAACAAAGACTATTGTAGAAATTTAAAGAATTAATATCACAAGTATCATCATGTTTCCAAATTAGTTGGCTTATTTATGCCCTCTCTCATTCCTTGTCTTACTTATTAAAATGATGATAGTTTGAACCTCAGAAAACCTGTTTTTTTTAAAGTGATAATTGCATGTTCCCCTCTAAGAAAAAGAAAACAGAGAAGAAATATTTCCTATTACTAACATAATATGTTTATATCAAAGAACACTAATCCAATGATGACTTGTGGAACAAAATAATGCTTAGGGACTTATTTATTTATGTAAGCCCATCCTAGGGCTTGAACTCAGGGCCTGACTCCTGTCCTTGGGCTTTTTTGCTCAAGGCTAGTATTCTACTGCTTTAGCCCCAGCTCCACTTCTGGCTTTTTTTAGTGGTTAATGGGAGATAAGAGTCTCAAGGACTTTCTTGCCTGGATTGGCTTTGAACTGCCATCTTCAGATCTCAGCCTCCCGAGTAGCTGGGATTACCCACGTAGCCATTGACATCCAGCTTACAAACCTACCTAGGATGAATGATTTTAGGAAGCACATTAGTTTTTGTACTAAATATTTTAACTTTGAAAAAAATGTATATATCTATGTAGCTCCAGCGATTAGGAATTATCAGTAATACTGGATACTACTGAAATCTGAAGAGCAAACCAAAAATATGCCAGTAATAGAACTTGATTTGAAAAATGTTTCTTGTTCTTTCTACCTCACCAATTGTAAAGTCAATGGTTTGTGAAGGTACATTGAGATCTTCTTCCTTCTTCTTCTGGTTCTTCTGCTTCTGCTTCTTCTTTTCTTCTTCTTCCTCCTCCTCCTCCCTCCTCCTCCCTCCTCCTCCTCCTCCTCCTCCTCCTCCTCCTCCTCCTCCTCCTCCTCCTCCTCCTCCTCCTCCTCCTCCTCCTCCTCCTCCTCCTCCTCCTCCTCCTCCTCCTCCTCCTCCTCCTCCTCCTCTTCCTCTTCCTCTTCCTCCTCCTTTCTTTTGCTAGTCCTGGGGCTTGAACTCAGGGCCTGGGCACTGTCCCTAAGTTTCTTTTGCTCAAGACTAGCATTCTACCACTTGAGCCACAGCACCACTTCTGGCTTTTTGTGTGTATGTGGTACTGAGGAATCAAACCCAGGGCTTCATGCATGCTAGGCAAGTACTCTACTATTAAGCCACATTCCCAGTCCCATAAAGAGTATTTTAAATATTCAGAGGAGTTACACCTTTAGGTTCCTCCCCTAAGAGCATCCTCCTTTTTAGGCTGACTGTGTGTGAATGCCTAGAGTCCTATATAATTTATTGTGTCCCAGAGTATTTTAGATCTAGCTTCCACATATGAAAGAAAACATGCACTGTTTGTCTCTCTGATCTTGGCTTACCTCCCTTAACATGATTTTTTTCTAGATCTATACAAATGACATAATCTATTTTTTTTTTGCCAGTCCTGGGCTTGAACTTAGAGCCTGGGCTCTGTCCCCAAGACCCTCTGTGCCCCAGCCTAATACTCTACCACTTGACACACAGCACCACTTCCAGCTTTTTCTGTTTATGTAGTACTGAGGAATAGAACCCAGGACTTCATGCATTCTAGGCAAGCACTCTACCACTAAGCCACATTCCTAGCCCAGAGATCTTTTTAATTGATATCTTTGCCATTAATATGTCATTGGGTTAACTGGGTTAATACTTAACTATGTTTACCACCAGATTCTACTGCCCTTTATGGAGGCTAATCACTCTGAACAGCCCTCAACCAAACCAGCACCACAGTCAACACCCCCAAATGACAGTTCATCATCACCCAATCAAAATGTCATGGGAAAGCAAGATGGTCAGGATTCCTCAACTTCACTCCAAGCAGCAGAGCAGGTGGCAAGTATACACTCTGAGAAAGGAGCTCACGATATCTCCGACGAATTGAATAGACAACTGGAAGACATCATAAGCATGTATGGGTCTGCTGCAGGTACAACTGGCAAAGAAGGCCCTGCCAAGCCCAAGGAGCAGTCTGAAAATGCAGAAGTACCTGACCATGAGGATGGGGACTGTGAAGAAACTGCTGAAGAGGCTGAAAGAGCAGCCAGTGCTCCTGGAGAGCCATCCACAGGCAAAGACCCAGCCAGCAATAAAGAGCAAAAATTGGAAAAGAAGATCCTAAAAGGATTAGGCAAGTAGATATACTCCATATTACCATGTTTTGCGGGGGTGTTGGTACTAGAACTTGGGGCCTGGGTACTGTTCCTGAGCTTTGTTGCTCAGGGCTAGAGCTCTACCACTTGAGCTGTAGCTCAACTTCCAGTTTTTGAATGGTTAATTGGAGGTCAGAGTCACCTGGACTTAACTGCCTAGATTGGCTTCAAACTGTGACCATTAGCTCTCAGCCTTTTGAGTAACTAGTATTACTCAGATAAGCCATCAGCACCCACCCAATTATAGTACTTAAAAAAATAAAACTACAAAAGCAGTGTACTTCCTAAGCTTTACTAAAAGTTACATCTAATATTTAGACTACGATAGCCCCCTCAGGACTTTCCTAAATTTCCTCTTGCTTTGTTTGTCCCTGGCTTCTTCCTCTTGATAGAGGTCACATGAAATTTTCAACTGGTTTTTCATCTACTCTGTATGGCAGTGGTAATTCCCATTGCTTTTGGAGAGAAGATATATTTTTTCAGAAAAAAAACCCACATTTTCTAAGGCCTTGGTCAAATTCCAACCAGTCCCAGTTTTACTTCATATGAGGGTACAGCCAAAACATTCCCTTCCTGAACACCCTGAACACCAAGCACACGGCAATCCTTCTGATCTTTCTCAGTGTTCAAACTTCCCATTGTCCATCCCCTGTATTCATTTCTTACTGCCATCAGTTCAGCCCTCGTCTGAGATCTTTATTGTACCATGCCCTTTTTTTCTTTGTTTAATTAACCAGTATTTGAAATTATATATTTATTTTGGGGATCTTTTATCTGAACAGTAGGGTATCAGTGTGCTTAGACATTACTGTATGCCTACTGCATAGGTCAAGAAATGACATATTCTAGGCTCAATAGATATTTCTGAATATCTACTGGAAAAATTGGGAAATAGCAATTGGAAGAATTGCTTATACCCAAGCTATTGGAGTCTGCATACAAGCAAAATATAAAAAGGTAAGTTTTTTTTCCATAAAATGATTATCAATGAGATCACTTAGTAATATATTCCATGACTACATAAAATATTTTGATTAAACACAACTCATCAGAAATGTATCGATTATCTTTGTCATTAATTGCAGAAAATATATACTCCATTGGTTTAATAAGAAAACATATACTTCATTGGTTTATAAGTATGTTAATGTCTAGCCATCGTGGGACACTGTACTAAGTATACAAAAGTAAAGAAGCTCTAGATAGGATAGATAGATAGATAGATAGATAGATAGATAGATAGATAGATAGATGATATATAAACTACTTTGTATATAGATAAGTGCCAAATCAGGAGGAGGATTTTCTTTTAAGTATGAGGGACTGGTAAAAACCAACAATAGTTTTAAAAGAAGAGTGAGAATGTTAACTTTCTCCTGAAAAGATGTTAATGTACATAGTAAAGTCTCACTACCAATCTGTCTTTCCTGGTGAAATTTCACTGAGAGTATCATTAGGTGATAATTTTCTCATTGTGCTAGGCTGAACTTTTATCCTCCATTAAATGTTTTGCAGCAATCATACGACTGTCTTCCATGCTGGATGGCTAGCTTATCAAGGGAAGTAGTGACATTTTATTTGTTTCTGGAAGAGAGACTGGGAGAATGAATAGGCATTGGGGCTCAAACTAGGTTCAAACTTCAGTAATAGATTGGCCTGAAGTATGTCTACATTTGAGTAAGATAGCACTATCATGAGTAAAAATCATTGAAGGGCTAATTAATACCCCTCCCAATTACCTACTTGATCCACTCAATATAGAGATCAATCTTTAAAAATCTCTTCCATTTCCAAAGTACAAACTGTGAATCAATCTAGAGAGTTTTTTTAATATTAAGATAATGAAGTTGCTCTATGTTGCAGAGCAAGTCTCCTTCTCTAATCAAAACATCTCAGACATGTCCTTTTGAATTAATGGCGTTAAATTTTCCATAGAAAGTTACCATAAACACTTATTTCAGAGGTAAACAAGTTCAAGTGTTTCTAATCAGTATGTTCCTAATGCACATCCTTAACCATTTTACCTTATCAATTCAAAACGTTTACCCAGGAATCTCTGTAGAGTATGCCATATTGAAAGGAAAGATATGAGGAAAAGAGGAGTAGAGTTCAAAGTAGCCAGTTCTGGCTTCTAAACTCTTTTCCATGAGTTATTTTATAATATAGATTAAGATTATAACTATAGCTGGGTGCTGGTGGCTCATACCTGTAATCCTAGCCAGGTTGGAGGCCAGCCCAGACAGGAAACTTTGTGTAACTTATCTCCAACTAATCACCAGAGCACCAGAAGTAGAACTGTGGCTCAAAATGGTAGAACACTCAACCAGGCTTGAGCAGAAAAGCTCAGGGGCAGGTCCAGGCCCTGAGTTCAAGCCCTACAATTGACAAAATTAAAAAGCTGGATGTGGAGGTGGTTCAAGAGCTAGAGTGCCAGCCTTAAACAGAAAAGCCAATCAAGATCATAAGGCTCTGGGTTTCAAGCCCCAATACCAGCACACACACACACACACACACACACACACACACACACACACTTTATAATTATACAATTACTAAATAATTACAATTGTACAATTGTACAATTGCCAAATAATAATGGATACAAAAATAGATATGAATTTTGTCATTTCCTAAACTTACTGGATCAGGATGACTGTGTGGTTTTTCACAGCTGAATCTACAACCCAAGCATTCAGGACTTGTTTTTCCAATAGAGGATGTGTATTCTCCCACAATCAACACACCATATCCTGACACAGTTGGGAGCATTTTTTAAATCTTTTTAGCTGGTAGAGTCTCTTTCCCCTTGATATCTGAACTGAAAGAAAGAAAAGAGTCTTGCGAGCTCCCTGCCACGTCCCATGAATATCTAACATGTCCCCCTTGTCTCCCTCACCCCCACTGCGCAAGCTCAGAAATGGCTTACTCATGACTCCCTTCACAACCTTATGTTGCCTGCATAATAACAAGCACAAGACAATGATATCATATAATATACCTTCTGCTATTTCACTTGTAACTGATGACATAGAAAATCAGAGGTTTGAAGCACAAACCTGGGGGTTGAGGAAACAAAGCTAAGCCCAGGTCCATTCTGAGCTCAGAATCTATCTACTCAACCTGCTAATTTTATAGACAGGGAAATTAAAGCCCAGGGACTTTAGGAGTCTGCCAAAAGGAAAAAAAAAAAGAACTCAGTGACTTGATGTGATTAGTCACAAAGAAGGCAAGGGGGTGGAACTGGCATCAGCATAGCAGGATCAACTGGCATGTTGGTTGAAGAGAACTGGACTATAGCTTAGTTAATGGATCTTGTCCTCCTGATGCTGAGAAGTTTCACAATTATTCTTTTCTCTCTGAAGTGTCAATAATTTTAGTTTATGAAATAAACAGATATAGGAGGGGAAAGAAAACTTAAGAATTTTATTACACGCCAAGGCACGGGGGTATGAAACTTAAAGAAGAGCAAGATGGCTCAATCCTTATAAGGAGCTTCTGTGGGGAAGAATGGTAGCACAGGTTCTGGAAGGTCGAGGAGAGGATCTAACCCAAGTAAAGGGTGTTCCAGGTGGCAGTAATGCATTGTGATCCGTTAGCACCAAGGGACAGATCCCAATCTTGTTAGATCTCTCCTGAACAGAACAACTCTCACTCCACCTATTTACATTACTAAAAGAAAGCTTTTCAGAGCCACTTCCATGACTGCAGAGATATGTAGTTTCTCTGAGCAACTGGTGCCAAAGAAATATATCTGTGGTGGGATATTTTACCCACCCACACCAGATACAGATGAATTTTAGTACCACCTTCTGAGAGGTCTCTAGCTAAGAAGTTGGTATTTCTGTGGTGTCTTCAGACACCCATTTACTTAGCCTTTCTTAGACTGACTTCTTCTGAGATGGTCTGATTCATCCTTTTTGGGTGATATCTTTATACTCTGAGAGGATACTATCCTGTGGCTTAGATGCAGATGCTAAATGTTCTGGAAGGAAAGACAGAACATCAAAGGAATATAAGGAAAAGAGGAATTGGCAAAGACTCATGACACATAGGAAAGCTAGAACTTAGGGCAGAATCTGAGTGGAGAGCAGATTAGAGAAACAGATGCAAAAGAAAAGCATGTCTTGAGTGATTATTGGTGAGCTCTTCTGACCATGGCAGGAAATGAAAGTGCCAGTATCTTACTACTCTTTCTGGATTTGTAAAAATGTTTCCTCTGTGACTGTTAATATTTTAAATACATCATTGGTTGAGCTAATAAGTCAAGGTCCACTCCCCAATTACATGAGAAGCTCCCAATTTAAGATCCCTAAACTACCAGAGACACAAAATGCCAGCTAAGTGGAAAATGTTTGGCCAGAAAATACAAGTAGGGTAGTACTTTTCAAATTGATAGTGGCAATAAAACTGTAAAACCTCTATGAGAAGAACAGTACTAGGTAGAACTCTGATAAATTTCAAAGGTGGATGAAAACCTTCTAGGGTGACTAGACCATCCAAACAATGCTGCTTTGGTTTTGATTGTTATTTAAGTTACAAATGGTTACAATTTCAGTTCTAGGATTATCTAACCTTAAATGCTAAACTCAGGATCCATTTAATCAGCCCATTAATAGTGTGTGTGTATGTGTGTGTGAGTGTGTATGTGTGTGTGTGTGTTTACACCAGTCCTGGAGCATGAACACAGGGTCTAGGCACTGTCCCTGAGCTTCTTTTGCTCAAGGTTAGCATTCTACCACTTGAACCACAGCTCTACTCCCAATGTTTTGGTAGTTTATTGGAGATAGAGTATCAAGGACTTAATGCTTGGGCTTTCTTTGAACTTTGAACTGGACTAACTTTGATACTCAGATCTCAACCCCCTGAGTAGCTAAGATTACAGGCATGAGCCACTGACACTTGGCACAACCCATTAATTATATACAAGGAAGTTGAGGCCACAGAATATAAATGTCTACCAAATAAAGTTGCACAAATAATTGAGGACAGAGTCAGTTCTAGAACTTAGGTCTCCTGGTCTTAGTCCAATGTGAATTTAACTACCCTAACTTCATATTTTCTACATACATAAAAAATTCTCTGAAAAGATATCTGCAAATGTGCAGGGATTATTTAATTATTTTTTATAATTCATAAGAAAACAAAAAAATGAAATATGATTCTGGGTCTACCATTTGAAAGAGGACACTTAATCTTCTCCTATTTTAGGTTTTGATTTCAATACATAGATATCAAAAATAGAACAGAGAAGCACACGAGTTATATTCAAGGCCAACTTTTAAACTTAAAGATAGAAAGTGTAATTTTGGAAGAGAAAAATATGAACACATCGGATTTGTGTGTTATCATCAAATTTAATAAAAACAATTACTTCTATGTAAGAAGTTTGAGAAATATCCTGGTCCACATTTCTGATCCAGTTGTTTGAAGTGATGGATTTTAATTTTCTTCTTGAAGGATAAAGAGGTTTTTTTATTTCTTAGATGTCAAAATAATTCCATTACATTCCAGTGTAACTGTGCCAAGGCCACAGCCAAACAGGACACTGTGGTTCGTGCCCCACGGTTGTCTTTCCTGCAGACTTCCCACTAAACTGACCACTTCCCACTACATGCCTTTGCCAGCTTTAGTGGGGGAGAAAAGGCCCTTGCTTTGGAATGACACATTAGGGAGACGGCGGATAGAATGCCCCCACAGAAAGTCAGTTTTCCTTTTGGGTCAGTAAATGACCCTACGTTTGTGGTCAGTTAATGGTAGCTTTTCTTAGAAGATAAGTAAGTCACTGCCCACTCCTCTCTTCCGTGATCATACCATCAGCTCTGGAGTCCAATAAAACCAACGAATGTTCAAAACCTGAGTGCTGAGTCTCTGAGTTCATAAATTTATGAATTTTGCACATTCCCCATTTTCTTAGATTTTTCTTTGCTGTTGCTGTTAAAGAGAGAAATGACATTTGAAGCTATATTGACCCACCTGAATAGGAATCTTCTATCCAAAATAACACATTTTCTGAGCAGAAAGAGACCTTAGGAAATATGAAGGTTAAACAACAGAAACAAAAGCTACTTTTCACGACTACACAAGAAAAAAAAAACCCTAAACACATTTAGTTCAGGAAGAAAGATCTATTGGATTCATTCACTGTTTTTATGAGAGTTGTCCCAGAATTCACTAAACGTCACAGAAAGACCTTTTTACTTCTAGTCAATCAAGACAGTATTCATCTGATAAACACGATTCTACTTTGTGTTACTTGGCTTTATTATCAAGCATTTACTGTGAATAGTTAAGTGTTTAGCAGTAGGCTAAGCACTGTGGTAGGCCCGGGCCCCATAATGATCTCTTGACTTTTCTAAGTGACTTGTGACTCCGGACCCTGGTCTTCCTATGAGCACCATCCACTGGCTGAAGTCAAGGTCAAGTCAAGGGTGAATAAATGGCCTGGTCAACGTAGATCATGTGGGCTTCTAGAGAAGTAATTGGAAGCACTTGCTTGGCAGGAGTGGGGCAGCAACTATCTTTAGGTACAAAGGACAGAGCCCTGTGTCATAGGTTATAACTGGAGAGCCAGGACACCCTCATCCCCCGCTCAACCCACTTTCTCTCTTGTCTTAGCCGGTGTTTCCTGTCCGAACTTACTCACTGGGCAAAGATAAACTAACTGTTGGGAATGTGGCCCTTTGTTCTTGTCTGCTTTCTTGCTTGATTTTTCAAAAGTTTCCATTACTTCTCTAGGTTTCCCCCACACCAAAGAAATGTAGCGATTTAAAACAAGAAGAGTCACCTTAGATTCAATCAGAGCCAAACTGATTATGTAACTTTGGTCTTTTCTGGGCTTTTGTTACTTTATCTAGAAGACTTAACTGTCTGGATGACCTCTGAAATTCCTTCTGTACCTAACTTTCTTTTATTCAAGGTAGTATTGCTAGATTTAGTAAATAAAAATACCAGGTTCCCAGTAAAGTTTGAATTTCAGGCAAACAATGACTAAGTTTTACACACAAGTGTGGCCCATCCATCTGTCATCGGGCTCCACCTTAGTTCTATATTCTCTGCCTCACCAAGACGAAAGCACAAATTCTAGCCAAGGGGACAATATTTATTCTTGGGGGAAAGGTGGGAAAGTTGTTAGCACTCTTCCATAGATTTATATCAGGAAACATGAGCTCTGTTGGGTGGCGTGAATCCCTGCTCTTACTAGACAGAGAAGTATCACAGAGAGTTGAAGACAGGAAAGTTCCTCCATCTTGAGTGAACAGCTTGAAAAGATATCATTAGCAGTAAATGTGGGAGTGAGTGTCCCAAACCTTCCTCCAAACTTGGAATGGTTGCTTGAAATCTTGAAGACAAAATATCTAGACAGAGGCTGGGGATGTGGCTTAGTGCTAGAGTGCTTGCCTAGCATTCATGAAGTCCTGGGTTTGATTCCTCAATACACACAGAAAAAGCCGACAGTGGTGCTGTGGGTCAAGTGGTAGAGCGCTAGCCTTGAACAAAAGAAGCTCAGGAATAGTGCCAGGGCCCTAAGTTCAAGCCCTAGGACTGGCAAAATGTCTAGACATCACAGAAGAAAAATTCTAAATAAAGGAAGAACAATGGGGAAAGAAAAGAAAAGCCTGAAAATCATTTTTCATAATTATGATGAGTTTTTAAAGTAGTTTTGAAGTCCATCTAGGGACAAAAACATGGAACCACCAACAGAAATTAAGTCCTGGATGGGAGAAAGGAAGGTCTGAGAAAGCTAGGATACAAAAAGACTTATGGAAACAGCTTTCCCTATCTTCACTGTTTCCCTTTTATATCCATTTTATTCTGTTTGGTAGAAAATATGATCAGAATTATTACCATGCAAGCCTCATGCACGGGCTTTTACACAGAGAGGAGAGAATTGGTTCCCAAATAAAGAGGAACAAGGGGTACTGAGAGAACTCAGGGGGAATTATGAGCCCAGCGCACTATCCTGCCAAGATTCTCTGCTTTTGGCTGTAATTCTAGCAAGTACATGTTTCATACTGACTGTTGCATGCTCATCACGAAGTTGTTTTGCTTTTTTAAAAAATTAATTTTAGAAAAGATAATTATTTTTTCATAAAGTCAGTGTTTTAATGCATTGTGTATCTTTTGAAAATTAAGATTTAGGAGGGAAAGTAACAAGATTGGAGTTGAGAATTTGGACACAATTGTTCTATTGTTATAGCAGACATTTATCCAGTCTCCCATGAATCTGACCTTGTACTCCATAAATGATCACAAACTTCCCAGCTAATCCACACTCAAAAGCAGTCTATCTGAGACTCAGATAGGCTAAGTGATTTGGCCAAGATTGGTAGTAAGTCAATCTGAGATACCAACTCAAGTTAACTGACTACAATTTCAACATTCATGTTTTAAAACATCTTTATATTTTTAAGGCAAAGAAGCCAACCTGCTAATGCAGAATCTGAACAAGCTGCAAACACCTGAAGAAAAGCTCGAGGTTTTATTCAAGAAGTATGCTGAATTGGTAAGATCTTTGATCAGTTCTTTTGGGAAGAGATATCTAGTCTCTTGTTAGAGCTGTGAAAAGGAGACTGTTAGATTTTTATGTACTTCATTCTAGACTAGAGCTGGTTACCTCACACAAGCCAAAGATAGAATTTATAAAAGAAGAATCTTCTTTAAGGAAAAGAAATCACAGCAAAAGGAAGAAAAGAGGATTCGAGTCTGCTCTGTTATTAATGGTGTTTTACACAATGGAAACGGGGAATGAGAGAGAAAAGTAATTGAGAAATATGAATATTTTAAAGTTCTTTTTTTACTTCAAAACAAAACAGAAATATACCCAGAATAATGATAAGCAAAGCTTACATTTTCATCCAGTTGTCATATTTAGAGTTTCCAAGGGTTAAAAAGAGAGGAAAACAGAGAATGAGTAAATGCCACCCTCTTGGAATATACTTGTTTGGTCTGGCCCATTTCTGTACTTTTCTTCCATTCTTTCTCTTCCCTACAATATGGGTGGTTGAGTGCTTAGTTCCAGGTCTTCCACAGGCAACCACACTCTGAGTAGATAGGGTCCTGGGAGTAAAGAAAGCCACTCCAATCCACCCAAGGCTTCTCGCAGGGAATATCTGCATAGTGCTCTAGAATCTGCCAATGGAAGAAAGGGGGAGGGGCTTAGTGAGAAAGTCTCACAGCCTGCTGAGATGAAGATGACTGCTCTCTAAGGTTTGTATACTTGCACACACAGAGAGGAAACTCGCAGCTGAGGTGTCAAGGTGTCCAGACACGAAGCCAGTGACAGGAAAATGAAATTTAGGTCTGCATATTCCAAGAAAACTTAACTCTAGCCAGGCGCTGGTGGCTCATATCTATAATCCTAGCTACTTAGGAAGCTGAGATCTGAGGAGCCCAGTTCCAACCTAACCCAGAAAGGAAAAGTGAGCCTCTCATCTCCAATTAACCACCAAAAAGCTGGACGCAGAGCTGTGGCTTGAGTGGTAGAGTCCCAACCTTGAATGACAAAGCTAATGGACAGTAACTAGGCCCTGTGTTCAAGCCCCAATACTGACAAACACATGCAGAGAGAGAGAGAGAGAGGGAGAGACAGAGAGAGAGAGAGAGAGAGAGAGATGCACATCCACACACATGTACATTCACAATTTTTTTTTTGCGGGGGGGGCGGGGGGGGGGGGGTCCTGTCATGAGGCCTGAACTCTGGTCCTGGGCACTGTCCCTCAGCTCTTCAGCTCAAGGCTAGCGCTCTACCACTTGAGCCACAGCGCCACTTCCGGCTTTTTTCTTCTTGCTTATGTGGTGCTGAGGAATCGAACCCAGGGCCTCATGCATGCAAGGCAAGCACTCTACCACTGAGCCACCTTCCCAGCCCACATTCACATTTTTAAAAGAAAAAGAAAAGAAAATCTTACTTCAGGGAGTTTATTGAAATGCCTCCCATGTCTAGGTGATTTTTTTTTACAGGTAATGAAACCCCAACATGGGTCATCTCACTTTTTAGGGTCTCTAGAAGATCTTAAACTTTATTCTTCCTCCTTAATTATTTTTTTCTTAAGTATACCATAAAATCTGACTAAGCTTCAGGCCCACAAATTCTCTAAGCCTGTGAATTAAATAGAGTGAATGACTTGCATTTTTTGTTGTTCACTCTGACTTTAATCCTGTAATCTTTATTTGTTCTCTCCTACCACTTTGAGTCATAGTACTACTTCTGGCTTTCTGGTGTTCTATTGGAGATGTGTCTCAAAGACTTCCTGCCCTGGCTGGCTTTGAACCATGATCCTCAAATCTCACTTCCTGAGTAGCTAGATTTATAGGCATGAGTCACCAATGCCTGGATTGAATTATTTGTAATCCACCAATTACATTACGGTGGTAGAAGAACACTGAATACACAAAACTTTTTTAACTCTAATCCCATCATCTAAAACACCAGCTTTTTAAGAGCATTCTAGTTCTGCTAAAGACACATCTTAGCTGGTATCTGGTTTTCCTGGTTCATATGACAGATATTTTCTCAGGTATTTTACAATTTTCATAGCCATATTTTATAAGTATTATGTCACATTAAACCAGGAATGGTAGCATATAACTATAATTCTAGTTATCTGTAGAGTGAGACAGGAAAGTTGCAAGTTCAAGGCTGGGGCTGGGAAGGTGGCTCAGTGGTAGAGTGCTTGCCTTGCATGCATGAGGCCCTGGGTTCGATTCCCCAGCACCACATAAGCAAAAAGAAAAAAAGCCGGAAGTGGTGCTGTGGCTCAAGTGGTAGAGTGCTAGCCTTGAGCTGAAGAGCTGAGGGACAGCGCCCAGGCCCAGAGTTCAGGCCCCACGACCAAAAAAAAAAAAAAAAAAGAGTGGCCCAAGAAAAAGTACTTTAATTTTCTTAAATTCAAATTTTTGGCACTTCCTTTTAAGTAATTAAAAGTTTTTAAAGTTTCAATGTACATAAAACAATAACACTAGTACAATTCTAATTTAGTATTTGATATTAACTTTACCTTGGTAATTTGGTAAGAAAGAGAGAAAACATGAAAGATTGTAGATAAAGTCCTATACGCCTGTTACAATTCTACAGTCAGCTGCAGCCAAAGCCAGCACTTGGCGAAGGTTGATCTAGTTACAATATGTTCGCTTTCATTCATTCATTAAGAAATCTCATGTACTCATATGCATTCACATAAGTTTGAATTATTATGAGCGTAATTATCTACCAAAAAAAAATCAGAAAAGTTAAGGGGTTTATTTTAGAGCAAACCAAAATACAGCCATCTAACTTTTACAATTGTATGATCTTTCAGTATAATTGTAATATTAACCAGTCAAGCACAAATCATCAATCTTCCAACTTATAAAACACTTTTTTTCCTTCTGACCAGAGGCAGTTTTGCTCATTTCCAGGGGTCAACAAGTATCTGTCTGGAGATGGTTTTAGATGTCAGAGCAGGATCGTGTTATTAGCATATAGTGAGTAGGTGTCAGTGACGTTAAATTGCCTACAATGTACATTGTTTTGCACAATACAAAATATGTGATCCAACGTGACAATGGTGCTGAAGTTGAGCAGCCTTGCATGTACTTTAATCTTCAAAAGGTAAAGTCTAAATCATAATAAGAATCACAATATGTAAATTCTAAGGAAGAATGCATTCACAATCCCAATATAATCACATGAATCAATTGCAGCCCTGTGGAATAATGGTACAAAGTCAAAGAACATATCTATCATATAAACAGGAGTTTAGCATGAGAAATATAACTTAAAAAATCAGCGACTTCCAAGAGAAATATAAATTTCAGTCAATATTTTTAGTAACATGGCTCTTGTTTTCCCCCCCAAGTTAATTTCTCCCCAGCAAGTAAAAAATTATACATGTGTATGAAGATATCAAATGTATATACCCTTTGCTTAATCTGGCAAGCATTTTATAATGGTTATTTCAGTGTGGCAGAAAGAAATGAATAAAGCAAAATGTCAACGCTCATATAGCTCACAAAGAATGAATTCCTTTTCAAAACATTTTAAAACTAACACATACAGCAGACACATGTGGTATGTGTATGCATTTGCATCAGGCTTTTTGAGGTACCAGGAGCAGCTGGGGTCTGGAGAGGCACCTGAGAGCTCTCCATGGCTTTTCTTTTCTATTAGCCAACAAGCTCATCATTTGTACCTTCACCATAGGTACTACATCATAGTACCTTCCTGGCTTAGGCACCATTCAGGCACTAAATGAACACACAGTTACGCACAAAAGGCTGGTGCATGAATGTGGCCACACCGTTGGTCTCTCTGGAACTGACATTCCAACGGTGTGCTAGTGTCTTTCTGAAGGCTTCTGAAGATTGATCCCTTAATCTGGATTAGTATTCCATGATGATGTTATCAAATTTAGTAAATAAAAAATGCATCCTTTAAGTTTTCATTTCCAATAACTAATAAACACTTTTATGGTAAAAGTGTAGCTCACCTAATATCTGGAATACATTTGCCCTTAGCAACATTTCCTTTATACCTGAAATTTAACTAGGTGTCCTGTGTTTTATCTGGCACCCCTACCCTAGAATTTTAGCATCTCAGGATGGAAAGTACAGGGGTAAATTGGTTTCATTTCACATGCCATCTGCGATTGCCAGAAACAAGTGCTTGTGGTGTCTTTGCTGTAGCACAGAGAGGGTAGGGGCGGGGTAGGCAGGAAACAGATATTTGTGTTCCGTGTTGTTGAGTTATGCAGTGGTTATTTCTGACTCTGGTGACAATTCACCAATGTTTAGGTGTTTGAAGGATGCTTTTTCTTCTACTCCTTTCCCACACTCAAAATATCCAAAGCCTAAAATTATAAAGAAGAAAATTCATCTTTTGTTCACCAGTAGGCCATTTTCCTCTTTCCTTTTTTAAATAGCACTACAAGTTTGCTTTGAGAAGGACTTAGAAGAAGGGAATTATAATCCAAGCAAATTGTTGACCATTGTTTGAATGAAAGGTTTATCACAAATTCTGGCAATTTACAGATTCTGAGATATGTCCTGCTAGCTATACTGTTGAACTCAGAAAAAATAGTCCTAAGACAACCAAAAAAAAAAAAAAAAAAAGGGCAAATCAAAGAAGAGACTATTCCTTCTGGTAGTACATCGAAAACCTCTAGCTATTATGTTAACACTGTCTATAAGTACTGCAAAGGTGTGTGTCCACTTAGTGATCATTAGGGTTTGCTTCTTTTCTGTCAACCCTCAAGACTCCAGTCAATTCCATTCTCATTTGCACCCCCAACCTTTAGCTGGATGAACATCGCACTGAGCAAAAGAAGTTAAAACTCCTGCAGAAAAAACTGGTACAAACCCAGAAAGAAAAGGACCAGTTACAAAGCGAGCACAGCAGAGCGATCCTCGCTAGAAGCAAACTGGAGAGTCTGTGCCGAGAGCTACAGAGACACAATAAGACACTGAAGGTATGTGTTCCCCCGCTGGATTAATGACATGTTTGCTTGTAGGCTGCATAGACACAGGCCTCTGCTACCCAGGGACAGATGAGTCCAACCATCAGAAAGCACTGAGTTTACTTGTTTGTGACCTTCAATGCATCATTTTTCACCCTTGACTTTTCTTACTGATAAAATGAGTATTTCTATGAACTTCCTTCTGGGGTTGGGGAAAAATTAGGTAAAATTCTATATTTAAGGAATCCATAAGTACCTGATACAAAGTAGGTCCTTAATAAAATAAAGGCAAGTCTTTTCCCCTTCTTACTATGTTGTATTTTATAAGGTAGCCCTTGGTTTACTATTTAAGACATTTGCAAAACTTTAATAGTTCATATTATACTAAATGCTACATGACATGAGACAGATCCAAAGCTAATTGATATGAGAAAGTGAGATTGAAAGCCAAAATGTCAATAGTTATCTGCCATGGCGGGGAGGGGCGGGAGGAACTACTTGGGAAAAAAAAAACCATAGGGACTCTTCAGACTTAATTATTCAATCTAAAAATAATAGACTGATCACTTCAGTCTGCACAAGGTTCATTAATTATAGCGTAAGCCCCTAACAGTGTGGTTAATTTGATTACATGCAGACACTAGCTCCATTCAATAAAATAAGATGCTGGGCCTTCTAGAATAATGCTGTCTTTGTCCATAGTTTCCTTTCAGTGAAAGATCTCAAAGCCCTGAACAAACAGTAATTAACCAGACACTAATGTTTCTGTGAGGTAGTTATTAGTGCATGAGATTAAAGGAGATACTTTAAGAGATGATGGCTTTAAGGATTCTGAGAAACCCAGGCTAGCAAGGGCCTGGAAATGGATGTGTTATCCTCTGCTCAAGATAGGCATCCATGTGTGGTTTTCTTTGTTTCGCTGAGTCTCCAAACTCTTGAGAATGTCATCTAGTGAGGACGTGCAGATTAAATCAAGCAAGTGGGAAATGTTTCAATCAGGAGATTTAAAGGAAGAATGATGCAGGTTGGGCCCTTTGATGACACTGAGAGGTAGGATGGTGGAAGAGGCAAAGACCTTGGCAGTGTGTCTACATTCCTGCAGTAATGGCTCATGGCTACAGGAGATGAAATGATGCAGCACTGCTACACCAGCTATGGTGCTATGCACCTTATTCTTCACAAACAACCCGTGAGTGCTTATATCTCCATTCTAATGAAGTGGCAGTCCAGATCAGTCATTCAAGGCTGTGACTGCTTTAAGCATCAGAATTAGGATTCAAATTCAAAGTATTTCTAGTTAGTTCCTTTTCTGCTTTTTTTTTCTTTGACCCATGGGTTTTGTTTAGAGTTACTGTTTAAATTTTTTTTTTTTTGTACTGTTGCTTGATACAGCTCCAACACCGAAGATATAAGAATTTAAGGGCAGGAAAAGGCTACAGAGCATTTATGTGTGCCTTTTTTTTTAATGTTTAAATTTTATAGCCATTGCATATGGTCTCTCTTAATAAGTATCTGGGCAACTTACTGTGCATTTGTATTCCTCTGTAACAATTAGCTTTAGGTCATGTCTAACTGCTGACAAATGGGTGTTAACAAAATTTACCCTAGAAAATTGTTGGAAACACTCTGCTTCTTTCAACCGTATCAATTTTTGTTTCATGTATTTTGAAGCATTGGTACTAAGTATATGCTCAATCATGATTGTTTTGTCTCCTTGATGTATTGGCCATTTTATCATTATGAAATATACTTTGGTATAGACCTTTGTCTTAATAGTTACATTATTTGATACCAAATTAGCCACTTTAGTTTCCTTACTCTCATTTTTTCCCCCAAGTTATCTCCTTTCATCCACTTATTAGACCTGGGTCTATAAGTTAAAGAGTATTTCTTCTAGGGAGTACATAGTTGTATTTTGCTCCTTTTCATTTGCAAATATCTTCCTTCAATTGCAGTGCCAGTCCATTAATATAGAATATAAAGACTGATGTGATTGGATGAAATGGCAGGTGCCATGGTAAATACCATTTTATTCTTTGTCTACTATATACCACCTCTCTTTTCTGTTTCTCTTTTCCAGTCTTCCTTTGGATTATTTGCCATTTAAAGATTCTTAAATTATATTTAATATCTTACTTTTTTGTTTTGTTTTGTTTTTTGTCAGTCATGGGGCTTGAACTCTGGTCCTGGGTGCTATCCCTGAGCTCTTCAGCTCTACCAGTGCTCTACCACTTGAGCCACAGCCACTTCCAGTGTTCTGGTGGTTAATTGGAGATAAGAGTCTTGCACAGTTTCCCACTCCAGCTGGCTTTGAACCATGATCCTCAGATCTCAGCCTCCTGAGTAGCTAGGATTACAGGTGTGAGCCACAGGCAACAGGCTAATGTCTTAGATTTTAAACTATCTACAGGTGTTGTTCAGTGATGACAATCTACATTCTTCACATTTCATAGCTTACCTGGAGTTCAATACTGTATCAACTCAACACATAGAACCATCACAACTAAAGAGATCTTACTTTTTATATCATTAAGCTATGGCTGTCACGTATACACAATGATGTTAGACTGTTTTCTTAACCTTTAAAAATTAAACTATAAAACTATCTTTTTACAAGTACCAAGATAGTTAACATTCCTGATACCTTTATTTACTCTCAGCCTAAAGAACTTGTGGTAGTACTTGTTCTATGGTACAGTTCTTCTAGCAATCAATTCTCTTGATTGTCTTTTTTTCATATTCTATTTTTTGTTATTAAGGAGTTGTACAAAAGTGGGCTACAATCCCATGTTAGGTAATGAGTACAATGCTACTTGAGCAATGTCACCCCTTCCTTCACTTTCCCCCATTTTCCCCTTTACATTCCTGCCCATAAATTGCTTCATTCATTTTTTACATAATGCATATTGAATACCATGCCTGCATTTGTTCACCCTCCCTCCATTTTTGTGCCCCCCCTTTGTCTTTTATGTTTAAAATGTCTTTTTTTAAAAAAAGTTTACTACTTAATATAATTTTTTCCAAGTCTTTCCATTTCCTAACAAATGGGCAATGTCATTCTTTCTGATGGAGGCATAGAATTCCTTTGTGTATATATACCACAGTTTCTTGATCCATTCATCTACTGAGGAGCATCTGGGTTGGCTCCATATCTTAGCTATGGTTAATAATGCTGCGATAAACATAGTTGTGCTGGTAGCTTTAGTGTGGTCTTGCTTGTGATCATTTGGGTAAATGCCCAAAAGTGAGAAGACTTGGAAAAAATTATATTAAGTGAAGTAAGCCAGTTCCAAAGAAACATAGGTCCCATGGTTTCCCTTATTTGCAATTACTACTAAATGTCTGAGACATACAGAAACGGTCAGGTAAGTTGATGTTAGGCAAAATGAACCCCAAGATAAGGACTTAAATGTTTTTTCTTTCTTGTGATTGTTTCTAACATATTTATAAGATGATTTCTTTGTTGCTTTGTATGTCCCTCCCCCACGGTATAACCCTTGTTTTCACTGTATTTGATGTCGGTATAATTTGTGGAGAAGGGGAAAAAACAAATTGTTTAGATAGGGATACAGGTGGACCCATTGCAAGAATGAGATGTACAAGACGTTATGTCAAAAAATGAACTTTACAATTTTGGCGGGGGGGGGGGGGGGGGGAGGGGGGAGGAAGAGGGGAGGGGAGGGGAAGGTGGGAAGGGATGGTAAAGGGAAACAAAGGAGGAGGCAGCAATGCTTGATAAGAAATGTACTCATTACCTTGTCCATGTAATTGTAACCCTTCTGTACGGTATTTTCACAATAAATTTATTTTTTAATTAAAAAAAGTTTACTACTGAAGACTATATTTATTGGCTATAAAATTCAACATTGACAGGATTTGTTTACAGTTTTTCTTTAAGCTTTTATATAAATTGTGTACTATGGTTTCTGATGAAAATCAACAATAAATTTGAGTTGCTATTCTTCTATGTATGATATCTAATTATCTGAGGTTATATCAACCTGCTCTCATGAGAATTAATGCATTCTTTAAAACCATCACTGATGCTTTCTGAAATCAGCACCCCCAATGACTTAACCACCTTCCACAAGACCCCACCTCTTAACACCATCTCTGATTACACTACTGAACACTAACTGTAAATACCACCAAGCTGAGATCCAGCATATAGCATATAAATCCCTGGGGGACACAGTCATAGCATATTTAAAACACAGTACATTTTATGACCCAGCCTCAAAAATCATGGAGTATCATTATCACAAGAGTCACTGTCCATCCAATTTCAAGAGGAAGAACATAGTGCTCACTTTGCTTTGGCAGGACTTCAAATGTGTTATTAAGAATGAAAAACTGAGCTGAGTGCTGGTGGCTCACACCTGTAATCCTAGCTACTCAGGAGGCTGACATCTGAGGATGGTAGTTCAAAGCCAACCCAGGCTGGAAAGTCATGAGAATCTTTTATTTTTTTAACATTTATTATTATTATATTATTTATTATTATTATTAAGTAGTTGCACAAAGAAGTTCCCATTCTACAAAACAGTATATGAATACAGGGTGTCTGACGATGTTCTTAGAGTCTATCACTGCATTGGTCATCTGTACCTCTTGCTCTTGTATCTTCAGACTTCATCATTTCTATTAGTCTATCTTCACCTTCATTGCTTCTTTCCTCTCTAATCTCTATCATACTGTAAACCCATTCCATGGCCTTAAATTTCTGATTCCATACTATTTAATTGATCATCAATTGAGACCATATATTTCCTTTACATCACTGAGCGGCATTATAATACCTATATAAAAATTCTTAGCCAGGTGCCAGTGGCCCACACCTATAATCCTAGCCACTCAGGAGGCTGAGATCTGAGGATCACGGTTCAAAGCCAGCCTAGGCTGGAGAGTCTGTGACACTCTTATCTCCAATAAACCACTAGAAAATTGGAAGTGGCATTGTGGCTTAAGTGGTAGAGCGCTAGCCTTGAGCCGAAGAGCTGAGGGATAGTGCCCAAGCCCAGAGTTCAAGCCCCACGACCAACAAAAATTAAAATTTTTTCTGCTATTTCCACATTGAGACTATTGTAGAATAAGCATACTCTGTCTTTTCTTTTGATAAGTAGTCACTTTTTTCTTAGCTTTTCATGTGTCAAGCCATTGCCAATTGTATCAAGGATATTGTGACTGATGTCCTGGAAAACAGATTCCTCCATTGCATTGACCTTCCTTGGCTGCGATGAAATACCTTAGAGAAATCATCTTAAAGGAGGACATGTTACTTGGGATCATGGTTCAGTTTGTGGTGACTGGCTTCATGGTCTCTGGGTTGTGCTGAGGTGGCTCCTGGTGTGAAGCAGGTGGCAGAGCAGGTTCCTCCACCTTGCCATGGCCAGGAAACAAAAAGCCACGCCCAGTGACCTACTTTCTCCGAAAAGGCTTCATCTCCTAACAGGCTATTCAGCTATAAACTCATCAATGAGTCCACTTGATCCCCTCATGATAGAAATAACCTCCCCAAAGCCCGTCAGTTGAGGACTCGTCCTTCAAAACATGAATCTTTAGGGTACAAACTTGCTAGGGAAACCATAACAATTATACTCCTTTGAAGAATGTTGACTTTTTCCCCCATCCAATCAGTTTAGCTAAATTAAAGCTACAATTCTTTGTTTCTGGGACAGTAACTTAGCTCTTCGTTCAGTTCTTGTTTTTTTGTTTTTTACTAAGCTGGGTTGCTTTGAGTCTACTCTACAATAGGTATGGTTCAGAATCAAAGCTTTGAGCCAGGGTTATTCACGGCATTTAGATTTCTCCCTCTCCCTCTCTTCTTCCTGAAACTCTCTCCTCCATGTCTGTGGCTATAATTGCTTAGCATTCTGACCTCTTGTTCTGCAGACCAGAAGCAGGGTAGATTTCCTAGGAAAAATTTTACTGGCAAGTGCCAACTTGCCTCCAGGACTGTCTGATTTTCTTTCTTTCCCAGTGTTTAAATAGCTGTTTCTTGCATTATTTAGTCCAGAAATTATAGATGTGATCTTGAGAAAGTCCAACCTGGTCTGACCTTTCTGGCTATACTAGTAAGACAGAGTCAGCTCCTGAATTTGTTCCTGGGAAGACCCAGGAAGACAATGCATAGCCAAATATCTTCCTACCATCATTAACGTTAACCTTCACTGTTTCTTCATTAAGGTAAAAACTCACACAAAACCTTAACAAGCTAGAAGAGCTTAGGGGAGAACAAAAACAATGAAAGTATAATGTGCTAATTTTAACAAAATACTACCTATCTTTGACGTATCAAAGTTGAGTCTAAAACAATATTGTGAAAGACCTGCCTAGTGAGAGATGTTATCTCAGGGAAAAGATTTGGTAAGGAAATAAGCAACATTTGATATCATAACACAGGATTTTTAGTGTGCAAAGGGCAATAGCCATCATCTCGTCCAAGCTACTCATTTGTCTATATAAAATTAATAATTTGTCAAGTAGTTAATTTTTTATTTTTATGCAGTTGTGGGGCTTGAACTCTGGGCCTGAGCACTGTCCCTCAGCTCTTCAGCTCAAGGAGAGCACTCTACCACTTGAGCTACAGCACCACTTCTGGTTTTCTGGTGGTTTATTGGAGATAAGAGTTTCACAGGGCTGGGAAGGTGGCTCAGTGGTAGAGCGCTTGCCTTGCATGCTCGAGGCCCTGGGTTCAATTCCTCAGCACCACATACGCAAAAAGAAAAAAGCCGGAAGTGGCGCTGTGGCTCAAGTGGTAGTGCGCTAGCCTTGAGCTGAAGAGCTGAGGGACAGCGCCCAGGCCCAGAGATCAGGCCCCACGACCGGACCCAAAAAAAAAGAGTTTCACAGACTTTCCTGACCAGGCTGGCTTTGAACCATGATCTTCAAATCTCAGCCTCCTGAGTAGCTAGGATTACAGGCAGGAGCCACCAGCACCCAGCTCCAGTAGTTAAGTATTAACTGAGTACCTATGGATTATATGCCAGGCATAGCATCAGTTCTAAGATCTGTGATAGTGGCTACAAAATTATTTCCAGATTGTGTCTTCAACCTTATTTGCTACTGATTTTTTTTCACTTTGAATAATGTACTTGGTTTTAAAAGACAAAATCTTGTCTCACTGTCCAAATGATTGCAAATTCTTTATCAGTGAACTCAAATGTGTAAGATATAGCTAAATTATGTATTTATTTTCAGTACTGGGGACTGAACTCAAGATGCCACTCTTGCCAGATAGGCATATTTACTGGTTTGCTGGGGTGTTTTTTAAATTAATCTTTACTTTAATCAAATTTTTTTATTATGATGTCTGAAGTTTCTTTCCCCCCCCCCCCCCCCACTTACTGTTGAGACACAGCCTCCAAACTTTTCTGTGTTGGTGATTTTTGAGATAGAGCCTAGATTCCTGATTGGCACAATGCCTAGAGGTCCCTTATTTTAGTCTTCCTGCCCTGGTGCATGCAACTGTGTCCAGCTCTTCATTTGAAAGGAGTCTCATGATTTGCCAGTCCAATCTGGCCTTCAATTGCAATCTTGCCAATCTAAGCTTCCCATCTCTAGATTTAATTATTTATTTACATGGTTGTAAGGTTTGAACTTAGGTCCTAGATGCTGTCCCTGAGCTCTCTTGCTCAAAGCTAGCACTCTACCACTTTGAGCCACAGTTCCACTTCCAATTTTTGAGAGGTTAATTGGAGATAAAGAGTCTCGTGGTGACTTTTCTGCCCAGACTAGAATCAAACTACAATCCTTATATCTCAGCCTCCTGAGTAGCTAGGATTACAGGTGTGAGCCACCAGTGCCCAGCTAGATTTTTATGTCATTGAGAAACATGATAGCGAGGTATGGTGATATAATCTGTAATATCAACACTCAGAAGACTAAAGCATAAGGATCAAAAGTTTGAGACAGGCTGGGTTCCATAGTAAAACGCTCTCAAAAAAGAGAGCGAAAGAAAAAATGAGAAGGGAAGAAAAAGGGAACACAAGAAGGGAAGAGGGGAGAGAAGATAGCAGAGAGGAGAAAGAAGAAAAGAAGAGAGGAGGAGAGAGAAATGAAAGATGTACATTTTGTGGCCAAGATTGAGTGTGGTTCCATAGTTTGCCATGAGTTTAGTGCCATCCTAACATCGGTTCCTTTTTTTGGTAGCCAGCTTCCCTGACTCACTTGTGGATGGGATCTTTATCAATTCAACTAGAGTTCATATCATGGTCTGTATGTAGTCCTGTAATTCAGAATTTCTTGACCTCTAATCTTATCAGAAGCAATGAGATGACAGTCATTATTGCATGCATCTTGAATTGCTCTTAACAGATAGCAATAGTCATTTTTAGCAAAATATATATAGTAGACATTAGTTCAGGGAAATAATATACAGTTCATGTCTTCATATTCAGAAGTAGAACTACCTTACACAATATCCCTGAGGAGTTATTGCTGGACAAAGGTTTATAACATAACTGAATTACAAAACTGATGGCCAGGTCAGAGATAGGAAATGTTTTAATTGTGATAAAAGGTTTCCAGAGCACATATTTTCAGGATCCGTTTTTATTTTGATCACATTATTCTATTATAATAAAGATTTGTGCAATTACTCCTGCTAAAGTAATTATTTCTTTTTTAAAATCCCATTGTATAACTTGAACTTGGTAGGCAACCAAATGCAGTATATTTTTACTTGCCAACAATGAAGCAAGCTTTCATATTAACAATCAATCAGAGCTGAAAAGAATCCTAAAATGTGTGTATCATTTGTCATCAGTGTAAGTGTCTATCTTTGGTATGATGTACCAAGATCAACTCCTTTTATTCTAAAACAATGAGAGGAATAATCACAAAGCAAATAATTCTCAATATAGATGTGGCAGGAAATTGGGTATATTGTTAATGGTAAGCAAAGAATGGAGAGTTTTGATTTGGGGGAAAAAAGAGAACAAAAATAATTTTAAAACTAATTTACAATTCTCTGTTAACAAAGGATCAGGGAGAGATCAGATGTTTTATTTTAGAGTTAAAGAGACTTAAAACTTAATATTACTTTTGATTCAAATGCTACATTGAATATTTCAATTACTCAATGTGACACACAGAATGGTTTTTCTTCCAGAAATAAAATATCCAACTTACTTAGAAATTTTCCTTTTTTTATTTTTGAAAAGCTTTTATTGACATATATCTGTCTTCATTTCCCTTTTTAAGCTTTCTGATGAAAATATCTTTCTTGCTATGAAGAGGTTTACATTAGTATAACATATTTCTAAAACCTGGGCATGACAATTGTGTGGATAATATGACATGGTTTAAAAAAAATAGAGGAATATTAGCTCTATCACTCCTCTCCCTGTACCTTTCTATGGGAACAAAAGGAACTCATGATCTGTCCCATCCATCAGTAAAATCAAGTTGCCTTTTTTTCCACTCCATAGTGAAGAGATCAAAACTGTGTGCCTGTTTGTCAGAATCACTGCAGTTCGTTCACCCAGCAGGGGACACATCATCTTTAAAACAAACCTATTCATCACCAGGATCAAATTCAAGGTCCTCCCAGCATCTGCTCTGAGTGACTGTGCATTTAACTGCCAAAACCTCTGCTCATATATTTATTTTGGGACAGGGTAACTTCAGCTCGAGAGGACTGAAAAAAAATTCCATTTACTCTACACTGAGTCCTCATGGTGATCTTATCCTGCATTCTCTAAGCCTATACACCAGCATAACAAAAACATTTGGCTTTTTATTCACAGGAGGAAACCCTCCAGCGGGCACGTGAAGAAGAAGAGAAAAGGAAAGAAATCACAAGTCACTTCCAGACTACCCTGACAGATATCCAGGCTCAGATAGAGCAACAGAGTGAGCGGAATATGAAGCTTTGTCAGGAGAACACGGAGCTTGCAGAAAAACTGAAAAGCATCATCGATCAGTATGAGCTCAGAGAGGAGGTGAGAACCACATCGAGCCTTTTGAAGAACTGCACATAGATCCGGCTCTGGGTTGTGAAGGTGGGGAGCTTGCTTGCTTAATAACAAAAGTCATGGCCAACCCTCTTGACTGATGAATGGTGAGGCTTGGATTTCCTTTACATCCAGACAGATGGTGCTTACAAAAATGCCTGGCTGAAATTCAAACTGGATTTCTTCAAAACTGAAATCACTGTAAAGGCAGTAAGTAGAAAGTGGAAGGCTTGGAAACAGTATTTCCCAGCCCTTTAAAAATGTTCTCTATATAGACAAAAGTACCTCTCATTTTCTTAATAAAAATCACTCTATCATCTAAATCAAGAGGTAGTAGTCTACAAAGTTTACAAGCCAATACTAGCACTAATAAGGTAACAATGATAATAATGATAGCATTTATTTGGCACTTACTTTTGTCAGGCAATATGCTAAGTGCTGTACTTTGCATACAATGTGTCATTTAATTGTCTCAGCCATTTTAAAATCAGCCAGAAGAAACTATATTTTTTACATTTTGTATATGATAAGCGGAGGCTCAAAAGCAAAAATCACTTCTAGTCACAAAAGCTAAGATTATTTTTTAATACTTTCGATGTTCTTAAGACCCCAGATGGCCCTTTCAGGAATTTGTTAAGCTTATATGCCTTTCCCCATCCTAGCCAAATTTTACATCTGCCTTAAAATATAACATAACATAGTCAAAGTGACTCTCTAGGCAATATTCTATGAAAAAAAAGGAACCTGAGCCAAGAGCATATGGTCCCAGTAGTTTGGTAAGCAGGAAACGCTTCACAGTGTACCAAAATGCCTTGCAACCACTTTAGCAAGCCTAGTTCAGAATGGAGGTTCAGATAAAGAAGAGGGGACGATGTGAAAAGAAAATGGCCACACTCTTCAGAGAGCTGCAGATGGGAAGCCCCGGTATACCAATTGTATATCCACACAATCTGATCTCTGTAAAGCCCAGAATTTCACATGGCCTCTTTTTGATGATGGGAACATCTCCATGATTAAGACTTCTCAATGAGGTAGAGTGGAAACTTTACTTTATCCAGAGTTCAAAAGGTATGTGAATTTGCACATCTGCAAATCTGTTCTTTTGTGGCCCTTGACTTTGTCATCCTCATTTGTGTTAGTCAGCTTTCTGTGGCTGTAACGAACGTGTGTTATAATGCACTTACCCAGAGGTTTGGGTTTTGTGGGGTTTTTTAAATTTTATTTTATTGTAAAGATGCTGTACAGGGGGTTTACAGTTACATGGGTAAGGTAATGAGTACATTTCCTATGAGCATTGTTACCTCCTCCTTGTTTTTCTCCTATTATCTGTTTTGACTTAAGAGCTCTGGAGGCTTTGGTCTACCCTCCATCGGCCCCAGTCATCTTGAGCCTGTGACAAGGCCACATAATCATGGTGAGAAATGTGGAGCCAGAGACATGCTCATGTCAAAGCAGCCAGGAAGCAAAAGAGGAATCCAAAGGAGCAGAGTCCACAGTACGCTTCGGGGCACTCACAAATCAGGCCCCACCTTTTACATTTTTCTGCCACTCCTCACTACCAGCAAGTTAGACACTAGGCTTTTAACACATGGCCTTTGAGTGCCATTTCAGATCCAAAGGACAGCACCAACCCATCAGACCAACGGAGTGGAATTCGGGGACCTGGGACTCACTCCTACACACAAGGACCACGTGGTGGTAACTCACACTTTCTCACCATAGTGCAGATACTAAGCATGATACATATGTTAATGTTGTAGTTAAAAGAGCCAAAATACTACAAGACAGTTTTCTGTCACTCACAGTATAGATCTTTGTGGTGGCTACCATAATGACATCCTATCAACTACTTAATTTTTTTTTTTTTTTTTTTTTGGTCAGTCATGGGCCTGAACTCTGGGCCTGGGCACTGTCCCTCAGCTCTTCAGCTCAAGGCTAACACTCTACCACTTGAGCCACAGCACCACTTCGGGCCTTTTCTGCTTAGGTGCTACTGAGGAATCAAACCCAGGGCCTCATGCGTACAAGGCAAGCACTCAACCAATGAGCCACCTTCCCAGCCCAACTACTTAAATTTTTTTAAGTAATGTTTTTAAATAATATTAGGATCTTAGTCAGGCACCAGTGGCTCATGCCTATGATCCTAGCTACTCAGGAAGCTGAGATTTGAGATTGTGATTCAAAGCTAGTCCAGGAAGAAAAGTCCCTGAGACTCTTATCTCCAAGTAATCACCAAAAAAGGTAGAAGCAGAGCTGTGGCTGAAATGATAGAATGCTAGCCTTGAATAGAAAAAGGGACAGTGTCTGGGCCCTGAGCTCAAGTCCCAGTACTGGCATGCATGCATGCACACACACGCACATACACAAAATAATAACTAGGTCTAAATCAGGCATTGACATGGTTGAACTCTGGCACCTCGACGCTTGTGTCTACCACTGCACATGCAGCAATGCAAGCACATTTATTCTGCCCCCCCCTCCCTTGTTAAATCTCAAAACAGAGCACTTGGGTTCCTGTGAATTCTTTTTGTTTCAAGCACCAACAATAAGCTATGTTTTCTGTGTGTTCTATATTTTTTCTTAGCATCTGGACAGAATATTTAAGCACAGAGAACTGCAGCAGAAGCTGGTGGATGCAAAACTTGAGCAGGCCCAGGAGCTGATGAAGGAAGCAGAGGAGCGGCACAGTCGAGAGAAGGAATATGTACATATCGTTTCAGTTGGTGTGCATACCTGGTCTCCCTGGTGTCATAGATGCTCTAGCCAAGTCGTTTACAATCACAGATAAAGAGCACTAGACGGATGAAGGAGTCCTAACTGGGCCAGCATAGTACAAAGTACTGTACACCACTTTTCACCCCCAATACTCAACAACTATTCAATGATTTTTTCCTTATGTACCTGTCATCTACTGAGCACCATTTAAGGTATTGGGGTGTAGCTACGAACAAGACAGAGAAGGGTTATCTTCCTCCAGGCAGAGGAGTTTCTGATTAGGAAGAGGCAGGCAATGATTTGAGGGAGCACTGTTATCTATAAGGAAATTAAGGTAGAACTGAGAAGGAACCAAAGGAGAGGATCTACTTTAGATTGGGTGATTCCAGAGGGGAGGGGGAAGCTCTCGAGGTAAGCCCTACTCAATTAGGGGCCACCACCTGGGGCGTGGTCTCCAGCCGCAGACTCTGCAGTTAGGCTTGTGATGACACAAGCCTGACCTGCTCCCCAAATAGCAAATGGTCAGGGAGTAAGGAAGAGTAAGTTAACCACTGGGGAAAGGCTTACAGTGAAGTTGCAGAGGTAAGCAAGTATCAATGCTACATTGTCTTGCTTAGAAAATAGTATGGAGCCATTCATGGTGATACATGATTATAATCCCAGTATTCAAGGGGTTAAGTCAGGAAGATCTTGGGTTCAAGACTATCCTGGGCCAGGTGCTGGTGGCTCACAACTGTAATCATATCTACTGAGGAGGCTGAGATCTGAGGATCACGGTTCAAAGCCAGCCTGGGCAGAAAAGTCTGTGAGACTCGTATCTCCCAATAAACCACTAGAAAACTGGAAGTGGCGCTGTGGCTCAAGCAGTAGAGTGATCGCCTTGAGCTGAAGAGCTCAGGGATAGCACCCAAGCTCAGAGTTCAAGCCCCACAACTGACAAAAAACAGAAAGAAAGAAGACTATCCTGGGCTACACAGTGAATTTGAGGTGACCCTGAGTTACAATAGCAAGTATCTAAAACAAAATAAGAAGTAGTTTGAATTTTATCCTAAATATAGTGGTTAAAGTAATGGGAAGCTTTAGGAAAAGAAATGAGAGAATCCTTTGCATCTGTAATGGATTCATTGGGCTTTTGGGTAGACAATGGCTGGGGGAATTGGCAGCTGAGATGGAAAGACGGAGATGGATAAAAGTTATTGTAACACCAACAAGCAGTGTGGATGATATAAGGTGATCATGAAGAAAAGTAGAGTCAAGGATGACTCCTAAATTTGGAGCTGACGAAGCTAAGTGGTCATATTTCCTGCTCTCATTAATCCTAAGCATCTCCTAAAAGTTTGGGGTGAAAAGAGCAAAGTTCAAGGAAGATACACAACTTAAGGCCACACACTGCTAAGTGACAAAATTGGGCTTCAAGTCCACATGGAACCACCCTCCAAAGAAGAAATTTTGGAAAACTTAAATGTGTAGCCATTTCATATCAGAAAGCTATGCTCTAAGAAATGGATCCAATCTAGTTCTTAAAGAAAACATTCAATCATGTCTCAAAATCCAAGAAAACAGGTACCCTCTTAGATAACATATGCTTCGTACAGGACAGCTGAACTTTCCTATGGAATATATGAGACTTGGCAAAGGGAGAATAAGACAAAGATGCAGGTGAGGGGTCCTGGAGAGCAGATTGCAGGGAGGGGTACAGCCTTAGTGAGAAGCAAGCTCTCTATCAGATTTTCCTACCCTGGCTAACCAAAATAGCAGATGTGAGTCAAAGATAGGAGGCTCCCTGAGGCCTCAAGGCTGGTCATGTGCTTGGCTTCCAGCTGGTACCACTTCTAATGAAGTGGTGAGGTACTACATCTGAGCTGGGGTCTTAATAGAATCACCTGGTTCCCTCCAGGCCACAGACAACAGTCCTACCTGGTTGGTTCAAAAAGACCGCTGCACGTCTACTTGCAGCTGCTCCAAGCCTCTCCTAGGACCAATCAGGTGCACTTCATAATTAGCTTTAGGTGGTAGCACAGTTGTTTTTTTGAATAACAACTAGAAGTCTTATATGGCACATCATAGATTGTGCATTGTATCTAACCCAATGCAAAGGCCACAGCTTTAAAAAAAATTTTAAATTGATACACATCTTAAGCTAAAATAATATCTGTTACACAAGTGTACATGGATGCGGTGCTAAAAGTACCTTTTCCAATCAACCATTCCAGGGCTCACTTCTGACCATGTCTGACCAGGTTTGGAGGTATCTGCCTGTAGAAGAGGGGTGAAGCATCTTGCTTTGTAAATTACCACAGGGCAGGACTGAGAACAGTTGGCCAAATTTCTGTTTTTTCAAAGTACGATCCATGGAACTCCAAGATCCAAAGCATCCTGGGTATTTACTATAAGCAAAGGGTTTGGTCCCACCCTATATTTCTTAAGTCTTACTCCCCAAGAAGGATCTGTCTTTTAATGTGCCCTGAGCACATTCAGATGCATTTTGGAAACTGTGTATCAGAAATGGGGCACAAAGATGAAATATAAATCTCTTACCGCATTGCACTCACCGTAGCGAAGCTCAGAGTCTTGGAGAATTGCTGTGATGATATAAAGCAGCAGCTGCTGCCAGTCACACCCAGGTAGAGAGGCTTAAGAGATGGTGAAGAAGAGATTGATGCTAGCTGAAGAGGATTGCTAGAGAATCTTCCAGAATTTGGTAGAAGGTTGAATTTTGTGTGATTCATCCTTGATTGGGAAAGGGTTGTTTAAATTAAAAATGCCAGTTTTTTATTAAAAATCTAAATTTTAAAAATAAAACTGTTAAACTTTTTTTTAGCTATCTCAGATTATTTTAAGTTCCAAACAAGATATAATCTGGTTAATATGAAAGAAATTAAGCTTTACCCAAATAGCAGGCAAATGGTGGTTAAAAACAATTTGAAAGCTGGGTACTGAGGAGCTCATGACTGTGATTCTAGCTCCTCAGGAGGCTGAGCTCTGAATGTCATGGCTCAAAGCCAGTCAGGATAGAAAAGTTTGGGAGAATCTGACCTCCGGTGAACAAACAAACAAAAACACCAAAAGTGGAGCTGTGGCTCAAGTGGTAGAGTACAAATTTTGAGTGCAAGGGCTAAGAGACAGCACTCAGGCCCTAAGTTCAAGCCCCAGTACCAGCACAAAGAAACAATAATTAAAAAAAACAATCTGACCTTCTTCCCTTGCATTCTGTCTTTTTCCAGTTGCTGAACCAGGCAGCAGAGTGGAAACTTCAGGCCAAAGTGCTGAAGGAGCAAGAGACGGTGCTGCAGGCTCAGGTAAAGTGGGGGTAACAGGGCATCTTGGTTCATGTTGACCGTACTCCTCCTCACCATGAGCCTAGGGCCAGAGGTGCCTCTGCACATGGCCTCACAGATGACAGAGGATGTGGGGACAGAGGGTGGAAACTAAAAATAAAAACCAACCTCATGTTTATTATTTTTAAGTAGAAATAAAAATATAGTATTACATCTATGAAAAGAATATGTTTTGCACCAAGAACATTGAGTCAAAGGTTTGTGGACGAATGATGCCATTAAAATGGCCAGTCACAGAAAGCCACAGTCCAGATTATCACCTGCCTGTGCAGAATTCCTATTTCTTCCTTTTCCCATTACCAAATTAAGAAGAAAACACAAACTGCGCCAGGCGCTGGTGGCTCACGCCTGTAATCCTAGCTACTCAGGAGGCTGAGATCTGAGGATCGCGGTTCAAAGCCAGCCCGGGCAGAAGAGACTGTGAGACTCCTATCTCCAATAAACCACCAGAAAACCGGAAGTGGTGCTGTAGCTCAAGTGGTAGAGTGCTCGCCTTGAGCTGAAGAGCTGAGAGACAGCGCCCAGGCCCAGAGTTCAGGCCCCACGACCGACAAAAAAAAAAAAGAAAAAAGAAAACACAAACTGCTGAGATGTACAATTTATAACTGTCAGTTCTTAAACTGGTGTGTGTGTGTGTGTGTGCGTGTATGTGTGTGTAAGACCATACTGGTGCTTGAACTCAGGGGATAGTGCTTTTGCTGGACTTTTTCTCTCAAGACTGATGGTCTACCATAAGAGTCACAGCCCCCCTTCTGATATTTTGCTGCTTAATTGGAGCCAAGAGTCTCAGATTTGTCTGCCCAGGCTGGCTTTAACTCAAGATTCTCAAATCTCAGCCTTCTAAGTAGCTAGGGCTATAGGCATGAGCCACCAGAGCCTGGCTTGATATAATTTTTAATAGGACCTGAGAGGGAAGGTTTTCCACGAGTTAGAGTCTGTATAGCAGGTCTACAACTGCCTTGTCCTAGGGCACAGAGAGGCTCTAGCTCTGCAGCTGGGAGTGTACCAGGCAATCCCAGAGTTCATCTGGGATTGTGTAGCAAGAGGCAGGCAATGGCAGATCCCTTGCTAGGAGATCAGTAGTGGAAAAGAGGTATGACCTTACTGTTCAGAGGTGCAAGAAAACCATGCCAGGGGTTCCGATTTACCTATCACTGTTCATTCAAAGCAGAGAGCTTGGGAGGAACAAGAAACTACTTGGAACTATGCAATGCTTACATCATCCATTATATACAGTCTACTCTTCTGTGCTAAATATAGATGAATTTGACAAGAGTCAATCAATATGATTAGATTCTGAGCTGAATTATTCAAGTGGCACTAGAATCTAGAGTTGTAATGATCTGAAAAATAAAACATAAAGATGCAATCCAACCTTCAAACCCTAGCATTTCAAACTTGGAAAAGAACCCATCAAGGGTTCTAGATTTGCCCTTGATCCTCATTCATCCCTCAGGCGTGGACAGCTCTAGGAACCAAAGTCAGGATCCTATTTCTCTATGTGACCCTGTGGACCTCTACTCAACCTATGTAAGACTAACTTTCCTTGTCTGTAGAGTGACATGCCAAGCTGGAGGCCTCGGGGATACCCAATGCTTTTTAGTGTTAAAAAAATAGCATAACACCAGGCACTGGTGGCTCATGCCTATAATTCTAGCTACTCAGGTGACTGAAATCTGAGGATTAAAGTTCAAAGCCAGCTCAGGCAGGGAGGTCCATGAGACTCTTATCTCCAATTAACCACCAAAAGAACTGGAAGTGGAACAGTAACTCAAGAGGTAGGGCACTAACCTTGAGCAATAAAAGCTCAGGGACAGTGTCTAGGCCCTGAGTTCAAGCCCCTCAGTATACACACAAAAGAAAATGAGGCTTCACTAATAAATATATAAAATGTATACAGTTGTTTACTAAATAATCTATGCAAAGCACCAGGCCAGTTCCTAGTCCCAAACAAGTACAATTAACTCAACCCATACCTACTGTACATTTTCCAAATGCTGGTCAGGGTTTTAGGTGATAGTATACAGTCAAGAAACAGAAAAATCACTGCCTGAGTTGATTCCCTTTTTAGTGTTTTCCCTAAGGCTAACAAAATGCTAACTAGCAATCAGTGTGTGAGTATTTCATAGGTAATCATCTTTTGAGAAAATAAGAGAGTCTTAAGTTGAAAAAGTTTTAAGAAGATGACCTCAGGACCCCAACTGGCTCTTGAGGATAACTGTGAAGAACTTGCAGAGCTGAAGAACTTGGCTCTGGTCTGAATGAACCCTAACTTCTCTGCCCACAGTGTAGACTACCTCTCAAGTTGCAAAGACTCTCCTTTTTTCTCCTCTTTAGACAAAAGCAGTGCTTTCAAAACTCCAATTATTACTTAATCTTCCAGAAGGAAAGAAAGGCTGTAATCATTATGTGTACTGTTGAAGCAAGCTTCCCCCCACCCTGAAGTATCAGCATTATTGGTGGTAAGCTTTTGCTGGGGATGGTAGCACACATACGCAGCCTCAGCGACTGAGGAGGCTGAGGCAGGAAGATCTGAGCGGCAGCCCCAGGGTAATGCAAGGCTAACCCACACAACATAAACAAGTCCTTGTGTCAAAAAACACCACACTTGCCAGGCATTGGTAGCTCACGCCTGTAGCTACTCAGGAGGCTGAGATCTGAGGATCACAGTTCAAAGCCAGCCCAGGCAGGAAAGTCTGTGAGACTCTTACCTTTAATAAACCACTAGAGAACCAGAAGTGGCGCTGTGGCTGAAGCAGTAGAGCACTCGCCTTGAGCTGAAGAGCTGAGGGACAGCGCCCAGGCCCAGAGTTCAAGCCCCACGACCGACAAAACAAAACAAAACACCTTGACAAGCAACCTTATTGCAAATCTTACTTAGCACTCTCACACTTTCTTTGGTTTTATGCAGTCTTTAAAGAGGTGTGAGTGGCACCACTCCAGGCCTCCTTCCCCATATCTAAGGCCTGAGCAAGAGAAAGCTCAAGGACAGACAACATTGTTTGTTCAAACTGAAGTCACATTTTATTCATAAGGCAACAGCTGGCCAGCTGGGAACATGTTTCTTACTTAGGGAAGAGATGTCTGGCTTTCAATTATATAGACTGAGGCAAGAGAGGGACTGTCAGAGATGATCAATGGCATACAATTGTCACTACAAATGAAGTGTTCATTGGATCAATAAGGATGCAGACAGTAGCTGATGTGGAAAGTCAGTAGTATCTGACAGCACAGGCACAAACCACCACCAGCGGGGAAAGATCAGTGAGTACATTCGTAAAAATGTGTCACCATGGTCTCAGAAGTCTTCTCCCTGGTCCATCCATGACGAGAGGAAAGCCCCTGCAAGTAGTTACTGTCTCCACACCATTCTCAAAGGCTAGCAAAGACAATTCCGGGACATGAGTTCAGTTTCCTACACTCTACAGATGTTTATAATTAAAATTCAGTGCTCAGTTAAAAGAATGTGTGAGTCCCTTGCTCCATTTAAAAATGAAATGTTGAAGCAATTAGCATGACTTTGAACAATAGAGTAGTTTTCTTTCTATTTCTGCCTCTGGTAGGAAAAATACTGCACACAACCTCTAGCTGTCCTCTGCTGGATTCTCTGAAACCCCAGGATGAGCATAGGAACATCCCTTGTCTATTCAAACATGCATTGTGTCAGCATAATCCTCAGAGGGAAAGTACAATTGGACAAATAACCATTAAGGAAATACGTTTTTTTTAGGGGATAGTGTTGAGGCTGGTTACCTGAAAAATACATAACTCACACATGTGTTGCCACTTAGGAAAAATAAGTCAGGTAAAAGAAAAGCAGACTATTAAATGCAGGTCACTAGAAGGAAGAAATAGAGAGTTGACAATAGGTTATAGGGTTTACATTTTTCATTTCTGAAAACTTCTAGAGATTGGCTGTACAGCCATGGGAACATACTTACTACTGATCTATATATTCAAAAGTGGTTAGAACTATATATATGTATATATATATGTATATATATAAACTATATATATAGAACTATATATATATATAAAACTATATATATGGAACTATATATAGTCCCCTACTGGAACTCAAACTTGGTACCTGATGCTTTCATTCACTCACTAGCATTTTACCAACTGAGCCATGCCTCCCACCTTAGGATGATAAATTTTGTTATACGCATTTTATCACAATTAAAATGGTTCGGGCTGGGAAGGTGGCTCAGTGGTAGAGCACTTGCCTTGCATGCATGAGGTCCTGGGTTCAATTCCTCAGCACCACATAAGCAAAAAGAAAAAAGCCGGAAGTGGTGCTGTGGCTCAAGTGGTAGACCGCTAGCCTTGAGCTGAAGAGCTGAGGGACAGCGCCCAGGCCCAGAGTTCAGGCCCCACGACCGGACCCCAAAAAAAAAAAAAACAATTAAAATGGTTCCCAAAAGTGGATATGGAAGGAAACAAAAATAGTCACCAGGAAAAGCCCAGAAGAGGTGGTAATGGAGCAAGGCATGCTTCTTGGCACTTGTCTGCCTTCTTCATGCCGCAAGCCAGCAACAAGAAAAAATGGCAAAGGAACAAAAACACCTGCCCAATTAATTCACAAAAAAATAAAAATTCTGATTTTCTCCCTTAGATCTTTTACTTTGAGAAATGATGGGGGAAGCTACTTTATAAGTACATGCAAGTAAAAGTCACTACAGCTGAGTGAAGACAGTCTAACCAAAAACAAAACAAAACAAACAAAACCAAGAATGCCTGTCAACACTGTTGACGTTGAAGTTCAGATGCAACTGTTTCTGACTGTGTCAGTGTCACATCTGGGAGTGGAGAGACCATGCAGGTTGCCTAACTGAATCCTGAAACTAGCGTGTAAGAAAGGATCGGGAAGACCAGTTTAGGAGACCACAGTTTTTCAGCAACCCCCACATTTGTGAAACTGCTGAGATTAGTAGTAAATTATTAAAAGATTCAGGGGGCATAAGGGATAAGAAAAAGAAAATTTCAGGATGGACTTGGCCAAGAATGCAAGTGAATAAATTTTGTGATAGACGATTCCAAGCTGTTTTAAGGAACAGACCACTAATGTATAGTATAGATAGCCAGACCCACAAGAGTTTACACTAGGATTATTATTATTTTATACATTCTGTGTGTGTGTGTGTGTGTGTGTGTGTGTGTGTGAAATCCAAGAGCATTTTCCTAGCCATGAATTCCTTGCTGCCCCTTGCTCAATTTTCTGTAATCTTTCTGCCAAGGAATCATGAGAAACAAACATAATTTCAATTCTGTCATATGGCAAATGAGAGGTTTCAGACTGATGGTCATTTGTTTGACTTCTCTTTGGAAAATTTATATCCTATGAAAGAATTTATGATAATATTTTGTTGCTGCTTGCTGTACTAAGCCTTCTATTATTCTGCATTATTTAGAAATAAACCAATGTGATCAGCTGCTTTCTGAGATCTAGGGGTCCTTTCTTCACATACACTCATCCACTCGCTCTGACACTGCCTCCACCTGTGAGCATTCTCCAGTCTCCTGCTATTTTAGTCTGTGTGCTCTTCTCTCTTTTAGAAAAGAGAGTCCCATCAAAACTACCAGTTGCTCAGCTTTTCAGACAGCCCAGTCCACCAAGTCTGGCCATATTTGTTATTGAGTGCTGTAAATTTGTTGTAACCATCTGAGGACCTGGGACTGTTTCCCACACTGAAGAGTACTGAACTGAAAATGGAGGCTTAACAATGTTAATTCATCTCTATTAAGTCTCTTCACTCAAAACAAGCCATCCGGATTCCATTTTCAGAACCAAGGTTTTGATGTTAGTGTCATTCACAGTCAGGGACTTAAACACTTTCCTTCCTAGTGCTGCCCACTGTTGTCATCTCAGATACAAAACTTGAAATTAACCATGTGAAGATACAACGGCCCTTTTCAGTTCCTCACCTCTCAAGAAAGCTAATCCTTTGGATGCTTTTTTTTTTTATTTTTATTTTTTTTATTGTGAAAATACTGTACAGAGGGGTTACAATTACATGGGCAAGATAGTGAGTACATTTCTTATCAAGCATTGTAGCCTCCTCCTTTGTTTACCCTTCCCATCCCTTCCCATCCTCCCTCCCCCCCCCACCCAATCCTCCCCCCCCCCAAGTTGTAAAGTTCGTTTTTGACATGACAACTTGTACTTCTCATTGTTGCAACAGGTCCACCTGTATCCTTATTTAAACGACTTGTTTTTCCCCTTCCCCTCATGCTTTTTGTATAAATGAGAAAAGGCATCTCTTTATCAACACTCGCTGCTCTCATCTGTGATTTTGCTGGAAGGGGGCATTGTGAAGAACTAGTGGCTAGAATACCGTGTTGATAAGCATACAAAAGCTGAATGTCTAAGGCAGATATGGTAGTTGCTTACAGTGATTACAGTCTGCACAAAAGGTAGCCATCCTGGTCCTTGGCCATCCACCTTCCTTTTTTTTTTTTTTCTTTTGCCAGTCCTGGGGCTTGAACTCAGGGCCTGAGCACTGTCCCGTGGCTTCATTTGCTCAAGGCTAGCGCTGTATCACATGAGCCACAGCGCCACTTCCGGCTTTTTCTGTTTATGTGTTACTTAGGAATCGAACCCAAGGCTTCATGCATGCTAGTCAAGCACTCTACCACTAAGCTACATTCCCAGCCCCACCCCTTCCTTTTATCGCTCAGTTCATTTGTCTACATTCTGCCTCCTGTCAAGATACCTTCCCTACCAACTCACGTCTCACACAATCACCCACTGCACCTACTGGCTGATGGGGCAATTTGTCTCCATCCTCATAGAGTCGTTGTCTTTGAGATTAGCCTCTCATTAGGAGTGAGGGTCCCTCAAGAACAAAATCCCCACGTGAAACACCTTGGTGCCTATAGTCCACGTATATGTATTCAGTGCTTACTGAATGTTGGTAAAAGGCTTGATACAATGAAATAGTGGAAATATATTTTATCATTGTTTTCCTTTATGGAAGCAAGTCAGCCATGTTCACTCAGCTGGGCTGAGCTTATAGTGAATAATACAACTGAACACATGATTAACACTCTACTGAGAATTCCTTTAAATCATTTTTCTTCTCAAATAATGAACAATGACATGTTGTTTTGTTCTGGAAGCAGCCTTAAAATAGTTCTCTTTCCTCTGTTTACAGCTTACTCTTTACTCAGGAAGGTTTGAAGAGTTCCAGAACACTCTGGCAAAGAGCAATGAAGTGTTCGCCACTTTCAAGCAGGAAATGGATAAAGTGAGTCTTACTTACCATCTATGAAATATTGACATTTTCTGACAGGCAGCTCTCCTTTGGGTTCATTTTCCCATGCTATTTTGGTGTATATCATGAAGTAATGAAGTATTAAAGGTAGGAATGAGACTTGAGTCATATTTTTTTGGTAAATTTGTAGTGAATTGATCTTAACAAGAGCCCAAAACTTCTAGGATATATTTCAGTCTGGGGAACAGTATTTCTTTTTTCTTCTTCATGGCTAACATGTATATAGCAAGGGCCAATATTATATTGTATCTATTAAATCTAACCTTCTAAAAGTTAATAAAAATCTTTCATATAATTATATAAAAGTATAATATTAGAGGAGAAAATACTGTTAGAGTGGCTCCTTCTAGACCCCTGACTAAAGATGTGAAAGTCCAATTTTACATTTTGAGTGGTTTCTCTTTTTTTTTTGGGGTCCGGTCGTGGGGCCTGAACTCTGGGCCTGGGCACTGTCCCTCAGCTCTTCAGCTCAAGGCTAGCACTCTACCACTTGAGCCACAGCGCCACTTCCGGCATTTTTTCTTTTTGCTTATATGGTGCTGAGGAATCAAACCCAGGGCCTCAGGCATGCAAGGCAAGCTCTCTACCACTGAGCCACCTTCCCAGCCCTTTGAGTGTTTTCTCATACACTCTACGGCTGGACAGTACTTGTTGAAGAGGTGAATTCACTTTTCTCTACCGAATTTTATTTTTCTTATCTATAAATTGAGATATTATCTTTCCTCATTCACGCGATTGAAAAACTCATAAATTAATGTACTTCAAAAGGGGTTTCAAATTTTTGAGAATATTTAACAAATACATGCTATGAGTAGGTATGAATAGTATAACTAGACATTTTGTTTCATTTTGTTTTGTTTGTGCTGACCCTGGGGGGCTGAACTTTTAGGCACTATCCATGAACTTTTTTGCTCAAGGTCTAGCACTCAGTCGGTTGAGCCACAGCTCTACTTCTGGCTTTTTTTTTTTTTTTTTTTGGTGGTTAATTGGAGATCAGAGTCTCATGGACTTTCTTGCAGTGGCTTTGAACTGGAATTCTCAGATCGTAGCCTCTTGAGTAGCAGAAATTATAGGCGTGAGCCACCAGCACCAGGCTTGGATGTGTTTAATTAAATCTCATTCAATTCAGTATTTTTGTAAGCATGTCAGTAGCAGAACTATTTGATGGGTATGACAGCTTAATTCTATAGTCCTAGCTACTTGGGAGGTGGGGTAAAGTTGCCACATGGTTTGAGCTAGTCCAGGCAAAAAGGTCACAAGACCTCAACTCAACCAACAAAAAGCTGAGCACAGGTGGTGTATATTTATCACCCCACCTATGTGGTAAGGGTAAACAGGAACATCACAGGCCGGGTAGATACTGGCAGAACGGGAATCCCTAGCCTCAAAATAACCTTAAGCTAAAAGCGCAAAGGGTGTAGCTCAAATGATAGAACAGCTGTGTAACACGGCAAACCCCGGACTCTCACCTGAGTCCAGCCCCCACCACCATTCTGCAATGAATCAATTTATGGGTGGACATATTTTGGGCAGTATTTTCATGAAATCCTGTAATTAATTTCACAATTAAGAATGTTAATGCTCGGTAAAAGCTAGCTTTCTCCAGTTTGCATGTATATATAATCCCAGTTACTTCACAGGTAGAGATGAGGGGGACAGCAGTTCAAGGCCAGCCCTGGCTCAACGTTAGTAAGACTCCCCACACGCCAACTGTAAGATACTGGCAGTTCGTGCCTATAATCCCAGCTACTCAAGAGGCTGAGACACAAAATTCACTAAATGAAATGAAATGGAATACATCTAGCCCATTCTGTTAACTCTCTGAATATGATTCCACTTCTCTGAGACTCAGTTTCCCCACTAATGAAGTAGGGGGTAACCACAGAACCTTTTTTCAAAGACTAAATAAATAATGTGTAATCATGCAAACAAACACAGATAGAGGACACAGAGAGTTGCTTTACTGTGGCCAGTGCCCAGATATTACCAATATTGCAAGGACCAAAGGCTATGCCAGCTTTGTGATTGTGATAGTCTTCTGCTCAGTAAAATAAATGATCTAATTTGCAAGTTTATTCATGGGTCTTGGTTAAGAAATCTTGACCTTGAATGAAAGGAAAAGCAACAACAAAACAATGTGCTCCTAAGTAGTTTTCTTTCTCTTGAATTGGCTCTCAGACAAACCCATTCATTCACCATTGACCTAGAGAACTCAGAAATAAGTCCTGACTCTTCCACAACCTTCATTCTTAGCATTCAACATCTGTTTGCTTTAGCATCTGACAACAGAAGGACTGCTCTAGATGCCACATATGGAACTAGTAGCTTCCTTGATACATTCTCTCTTCAGAGTTAACACAAAACATTCTGGTTTCTGTAGACAACTAAGAAAATGAAGAGGCTGGAAAAGGACACTGCCACATGGAAAGCCCGGTTTGAGAACTGTAACAAAGCTCTGTTGGACATGATTGAAGAGGTGAGGAAATTCTTCTGTTAGTTTTTATTCCCTATGTCCCTCCTCTCTAGTCAAAATATTCACACACAATATAAGCTAACAGTACAAGTGATTACATTGGGGGGAAAATGGGCTGAATTTTGCAAGGATGTAACCTGTTAAATTGTCATGAAAGTAATAAAACAAGGGTAATTTAGAATCCAGGCCTGTGTCATAAAAGAGCTTTATGGCCCTTGATCACATGCTTGTTAATACAAAAGCTGTCCCCATAACAGCACTAAGCCTGCTGTGCCTTACTTAAAAGTCGGAAGAGTGCCGGGCTCACACTTATAATCCTATCTACTCAGGAGGCTGAGCTCTGAGGATCATGGTTCAAATCCAGCCCAGGCACAAAAGTCTGTGAGACTCTTATCTCCAAATAACCAGCAGTAAGCCAGAAGTGGAGCTGTGGCTCAAGTGGTAGAATGTTAGCCTTAAGCAAAAAAGTTTAGGGACGCTCCTTGGCTTTTAGTTCAAGCACTGGGACTGGTACACACACACACACACACACACACACACACACACACACACACACACACACACACACACACACACACACACACACACACACACCCCACACACACCACACAAAATTTTTTTTCATTTCCCCAATGCCTATCTAAGAGGCACAACCAATGATGTGAATACACTAAGAGTCAACATCAACCCATTCACCCAGAGCATATGTAATTTTATAGACAGATATGGAGAAATATTTTCTTATGCTCCTTAAACAGGCATTTAAATACTAATATCATACCAGGATCTAAAGGTTTTTCTGTTGTAATAGCAAATATCCATGACCCTGACATTATAGACAGGGTTTTTTTGGTTTTTTTTTTTGGGGGGGGGGGTCCGGTTGTGGGGCCTGAACTCTGGGCCTGGGCGCTGTCCCTCAGCTCTTCAGCTCAAGGCTAGCGCTCTACCACTTGAGCCACAATGCCACTTCCGGCTTTTTTTCTTTTCGCTTATGTGGTGCTGAGGAATCGAACCCAGGGCCTCAGGCATGCAAGGCAAGCGCTCTACCACTGAGCCACCTCCCCAGCACCTATAGACAGGGTTTATATGTTACATATGACCCCCAAAAAAGTCTCAAAGGTACAGAGTAGCTCAAAGGAGAATGAGTATGTACATGGTGACTAGATGAAGAACCTGTCTCTGCACAGATACACCATTATTTCTAGAGAAAGAAGTCGATAGTTTGGCCACTACAGTCATGAATTAGTATACGGTGAGTTTCTATGGTTATAATTGCTGTTCTAACAATTCATCCCACATTGCAAACCATTCTAAAGACATATGCTCAGTGATCATCAACATAAATCAAATAATTGCTGGGATTAACACACATTCATCTATATCTTCATCAATATAGGGCCTAAGGCACCACTTAGGGAAAGTTTGAGTCTGTCTTATTCATTTCACCCACAAGCTTTTACTCATAGCTTGTAGGTATTTATTGTACGATTTGAGAGGCTCAGGCTTAATTCAGAGAAGAAGCCTTAGCATCTTTCTTTTCCAAAGAAAGATTCAAGTTCTACTATGGTAATTAAAATTCTACATACAATGCAAAAAAAAAAAAAAAAACATACAACAACTTGTCTCCAACCACAGGTCTGTTCAGCTACCACTCCAATGCTTTCTTCCAGAAAGCATCCTGGAAATTCAGTTTTTCATTGCATTGTGTTTTGTGTGTGTTCAAATCACAGAAAGCACTGAGAGCCAAGGAATACGAGTGCTTCGTGATGAAAATTGGGAGGCTGGAGAAGCTCTGCCGCGCTCTACAAGAAGAGAGAACTGAACTCTACAGAAAAATCAGAGAGGCAAAAATATCTGAGAAAGATGACCAAAGTCAGCATACCTCCGATGAGGAGCCGGAGTCAGATATCAGTGCAGAGAAAGAGGTGAACACAGAGGAAGCCAACAGTGTTCAAGACACTATAAAGAACTTGGCCACCGCCTTTATGGTAATCCATCACCCAGAGTCCACACTGGACCCATCAGAAATAGAAGCAGAACTGAGTGGTCCTCAGGAAGGTGGGGACCCTGCCCTCCAGAAGCCTGAACAACCCCCTCAGATCCCTAGTGGACATCCAGGGAGCCTTCTGCCTCTCCCAGCTACTCAGACAGAGGCTGGAAGAGGCCAGGCTGCCACATCCGCCACTATGGCCAGTCATGTCCTGGAAAGGTCAGGAGGAGAACCTCAGAGTCTCTCCACTGGGGCACAGGCTTCGAGTCAGTTCTCACAGCCCCCAGCCCAGGCCTTCCTATCCCAAGTGGAAGCAAATGGTCCTGCTCATGTAGAAACTTCTAATCAGGCCCCACAACCTCCAGCTCAGGTCTCCCTCCTGCAGTTAGAGGCAAATGACCCTGATCCACTCTCCACAGTCAGTGATCAAGTTCCAGCCATAGTACCTGAGTGTGAGCCCAGCGGGCAGCCATTGCCAGTAGCCTCAGAGGAACTGACCCCAGAGTCCTCTGCCCAGCCCCAACTGCCCAAAGCAGGTGACAGCAACCTGGAAGGAGTGGACTAAGCATCATCATGTCTTCAGAGGTTGTCGTCCTCACTTTGGGTCTTGTCATAGCAGACGCTCCCTAGAAAGGGCATTAAGCAATGGGTATGTCAAATGAAAGAAAGTTAGGATCAAGACCAGATTTTTTAAACACATGATTCAAAGCACATTCAGACTTTTTTCTATGTTCTCAATTCATAACTGAAGTGGAACATTTCTACTTAACATTGAGTGATAGTATAATGTTCCCAAATGGCAGCAAAACATACAATAACAAGTTTATATTACTTTTCCACTAAAAATATACTTTATCCGATCTCTAAATCAGCAGTAAGATTTGGTATTTCAAGACTTTCACTGCAAATACATAAATACTGACAATGTTGTATTTATTTCTATAAATAGCTCAAAAATTCCCATAATAAAAGATGTCTCCTTTCCATTCAATAACATAGGGAACATATATATGCATAGGTGTTGGTGTACATGTGTATCTATTCACATATGTACAGTGTGAATACATACATATGTGCATATACATAGACATGTGTATATATTTTACATGCAGGTATACACATTTGTAAATTTATTTCTCTTACCCATTATGTATTTTTCTCTGTGCAAGATCTTTAGAAGCTAATCAAATGATTACCTCTTATCTGTACCTGTACCAAAGGTTCAGAACTTTATTCATTTAGGCCATCACTATATGTGGCAAAAATAAATAACCCAATAAGAGATCAATAAATTCAGCCAAGTGGTCAAGCCACAAAATAGCAGTTGTGCTAGACTGCAAGTCTGTGACCAGCATGGACACAAAGGTGGTCACAGGAGACCCCCAAGGGAAAGGGAAAGAACACAGCTGCTTCTACACTCCTCAGCCAGCTTCCTCCCAACCTCTACCACCCCCAGTATAAGACAGCCATTCCTGACTGCCCACACTCCACCACCACCCCCCTCGCCCCGCCCCAAGTTGGATTGGAAATGGGCAAGGGAGCTAGCTAGTGGTTGAGGGCTGAGGCTGTGGCTAGGTGTCTTCGTCTTATGCTCCTTATGTCTCATGACAGGATATTTACTTCTTGCTATATTTGACCCAATCTGTATTCTCAAAGCATCTGTTCCCTTCCTTCCAATGACCCTCCTTTGTAGCAGGGAATTACACCTGGCCCTCAGCTCAATTAAAGTTAAGTAAAGCTGTTATTTTTCTGCAATAGAAACCCACACAGGGTCTCGATATGAGTGAGGAGACTTACAAACACATTTTCTGCTTTGAGGGTTTTGTTTAAAGGCCAGAAATACAAAGTAAAAAAACAATAGGTCCCTACTCAAAATAGTGAGAAACAGATGAAAACTCAAAAAAGGCAAAAACTAAAAACATCTGGAACTGTCTACATAAAGATCATATTATCATTGCTTGACAGGGGTTCTAACAATACCAGCAGCATAATTACTGGACCTGGGATAAAGGATCCTGCAACAATGATGCCGGAAGGAAAATAGGGAGAGGAGAGAACAGAGAATGGAGGAAATGGAAGGAAAGAATGAAAAAAAAAAGTCTACTCAATCTCTGTGTTAAAAAGCTGGGCACTAAGCCGGGCGCCAGTGGCTCACGCCCATCATCCTAGCTACCCAGGAGGCTGAGATCTGAGGATCACAGTTCAAAGCCAGCCCAGGCAGGAAAGTCTGTGAGACTCTTATCTCCAATTAACCACCAGAAAACTGGAAGTGGCGCTGTGTCTCAAGTGGTAGAGCACTTGCCTTGAGCTGAAGAGCTGAGGGACAGTGCCAAGGCCCGGGAGTTCAAGCCCCATGACTGACAAAAAACAAAAACAAAACTGGGCACTGATGGCTCACACCTGTTATCCTAGCTACTCAAGAGGCTGAGATCTGAGGATCACAGTTCAAAGCCAGCCTGGGCAGGAAAGTCTGTGAGATCTTACCTCCAGCTTACTATCACAAAACCAGAAGTGGTGCTATGGCTTAGAGTGGTAGAGCACTACCCTTGAGCAAAAGAGCTCAGGGACAGCACCCAGGCCCCAAGTTCAAATCCCACAACTGACAAAAAAAAAAAAGTTGAATCGAGAACTTTAACTCCCCTTTCCTGTCTGGGGATCAGGAGAAATTTCTCTCTTCTCTATTTCTCTCTACTTTGACCCTGACTGACTAAAATAAATCCTTGCTGAAAATAAAAATGATAAAAATAAAGTTAAACCCAAGTACAACACCACCCTTCAGAGCCAACTACTAACTTTTCATGAATTCTGATAGTCAAATATAGCCATTTTCCAATGCCAAATTAGGTGATTTTTTTCATCAAATCAACGATATTAAAAACAAATAGAAAAAAAAAAACCCAAGCTCGAACTGGGGCGTGGCTCAAGTAGAGTGCTTGCAACTGCTCCACCATTAGGGCAGTCCCTAGTGCAAATAAAAAAATTGAGCCCAAGAAGAAAAAATGGATAAAAGCAAGATTGTCAATTATGCAGCCAAGAAATCATTCTTCAGTGCTGGGCGTGGCTGATTGCCAGGGCACACGAAGAGCTTGTAGGTAGTAGCCATATGTTACAAGAATTATAAACTGCTTAAAAAGTAGACAATGAGAGAGAGAACAGAAATGCTACTCAGTGGAGAAAAAAAAAAAAACAGGAAATAACCATGGCACTAATTTGAGAATGTAGGTGTATACAATCAAGTTTCAACATTATTGGAAATTAAACACCCCAAACCAAATATTCACAATCCATAATGATCCAAGACAGTCTCCTTTCCATCTGTTTACACAAGTTAAACTTCCAAGGATGGAGTAAGATTAGATAATCACAATAAAGTCTCAGTCTGAATGCTTAACAAGAGAAACAGACAGCTGTGCCAACAACCACTAAATCAAATATTCTCATATCCAAAGTTTATTATTTTCATCCAAGAGGCTTTCAAGGCAACACATTACTCACTGCTGTGTCTTTCTTCAACAGATTTTCTGACATAATATCTTGCTTGAAATTTGTAAAACTTAAATATTAGCTTTGGGAGAATTATTTTAATATTCAAAAATGTTTTATTGCACTCCTTTGTTAGAATTTGGCCTTGGTAATTATAACAATAACTCATAAGGTTGAAAAGCAGAAGTTTCTATTCTTTATTAAGTTCATGTAACTATTTTTAGAGATGCCCAAATATACTTTCTAGAAACCTACTTAAACAACGTAATTTATGTATCTATTAAAAAAGTACTTCTCCTGCCAAATTTTATCAAAGTAGTTTTTTTTACTTAATTTTCACTTATCTTTCTGTTACTTCTGTGTTTCAACAACACATAGCAAAAATTATGGTTTTATTTTATTGTCATCTGACTGTTGTGAAGAATCGATCTGGAGTCCACACATTGAAAACTGTGTGTGTGTGTGTGTGTGTGTGTGTGTGTGTGTGTGTGTGTGTGTGTGTGTGTGTGTTCAGAATACAGAGGAAGGATACAATGACAGAGAGATCCTTAACAATAAGGCTACAGTCAAAAACCACTGGAGCTTACAAGATAAAAAGGCTAGAAACAGAATGCCAAGGTGCTATGGTTTGAATGTGTTTTCTCAAATTCAAGTGTCAGAAACTTAATCCCCAGATTCAATTTAGTGGTATTTGGAGGTCAGTCCTTTGGGAAGTAATCACATTATGTGTGCGAGTGAGTTGGGGCACAGATACACATATGTGAAATTAAATTTGACCTGTTTACTTCTGTTCTCGTAGGTGAGGCTTAACACCGGTATTTGCAAAAAGATGGTTAATGTTATCTTCCTTGCAAGGAAAAACTATAAAAAACAATTATTTCCTATGTGACTAAAGATATTTGAAAGAAACACTTAGCTAGCAATATAAACCCAGAAATTCATTGATCTATGGCACATAAATTACCCACAGGAGCTGTTTCATTTACCAGGGTATAAAATGACTAAATCACTTCAACAGCATATGCAAGCTCAGCTAAATCCAAACGCATGTTCTCCTTTGCACTAAATTTAAGAACCCAAGATCTCTACCATTGCCAATGACTATCCCACTTTCAATGATATATTGTAACTTCATGCCATAACTAATGTCTATAGAAAACATATGATTTCCAAAAATTTCAATTGATGACATTTTATGTTGAATAACCCCCCCCCAAAAAAAAGCCCAGAAGACAAGCAAAGAGACATTATGTTAAGAGAAGGAAAAGAAGAAAAAGAAAAATAAGACTTTCAGTCTGGTAGCTGTAATATAATACAAAAGGAAAAGTTAAAAGTTAAAACCCAAAGAGAACTGGAAACAATAAAGGGAAGAGGCATATAAATTGCATAAATTGGAAGTAGACTGACCGTGAATAATGCCAATGCATTTCAACACTATATCTCCCAAGCTGAGAAATTTTTAGTAACATGGTGTTTAGTGCTGATACATCATTATCTTTCTTCTTTTTTGTCTTCCTTTTAAAATGAAAAATACGTTCTTTCCCATGTCAAAATAAAGTTATGTTATAAAACTCATAGAAAAACAGGTCACTAGCAAATGTCAGTGAAAGCTGTTGATCAGTAGCTGGGATGAGGGGAGACAGTAAGGGAGAACAAGAGAGAAGGATACTCAGGAAAATAGAATATATACACATCTGAAATTCCATGGTGAACGCCCTTGGTGCAACAAATACATATTAAAAATAAAAAGAATAGCGAGTTTTAACAGGTAAATTCATAAGCTACAGTCAGCCCTCATGGCAGGTGTACTATTCAAGTAAGCAGAGATTAAAAATAGTCAAGAAACAAAAAGTTCCAGAGTTTTAGAAAACACCACTGATGTGATGTATGCATACACCCTGCTGCAGCCTCTGGCCAGCCCATAGATCTTGTTTCTCTCCAGCATGTGTTTGAAGAACTTGTCTCATGCCTCATTCAGTGGCGTTCTATGGACTTAGGCCTAATGATTGCATCCTCCCTGGTCATTCTTCCACAGTGTGCTTTACCTAGCAATTATTCTGTATTAGATACATGTCATCTAAAAGTGACTCAAACGCTAAGGAGGATACACACAG